GGGGAAAGCGAGGAGGCCTGCTCGTGCGTCTTAGGAGGAGAGGAGCGCGCACGGCTCTCCCCGGCATTTTTCTCTCCAACGTACGCTCACTGGGCAATAAGATGGACGAACTCAGCCTGCTCATGAGAAGAAACAAGGACTTCGCCACATCCTGTGTCCTCTGCTTCACTGAGACCTGGCTAAATGAGCGGATCCCGGACTGCGCTCTGGAGCTGCAGGGCTTTGGGCTGTTTCGCGCGGATCGCCATTGTGCGCTCTCAGGGAAGAGCAGAGGCGGAGGGCTCTGTTTCTACGTCAATACAAACTGGTGTAACGATGTGACAGTGATCTCCAAGCACTGCTCTCCTGCTCTGGAATATCTTTTCATTCATTGTAAACCATATTACTCCCCGCGGGAAATTGTTTCATTCATTCTTGCCTCTGTTTACATACCGCCATGCGCGGACGCGCGCGAGGCTCAGCGCGCACTCGCAGAGCAAGTACTGTGTATGGAACGCTTATACCCGGACTCTCTGATTATTATCCTGGGGGATTTTAATAAGGGAAACTTGAGCCAGGAATTACCCAAATACAGACAGTTTATCAAATGCCCGACCAGAGAGGAGAACACTCTGGATCACTGCTACACCACCGTGCGCGGAGCTTTTCGCGCTGTTCCCAAGCCAGCCCTCGGCTTCTCAGATCACTCCATGATACATCTGGTTCCTGCTTACAGACAGAGACTAAAGCTCTCGAAACCTGCAGTGAGGAGCTCCAAAGTGTGGTCTGATGAAGCTGTGGAAGAGCTGCGCGCATGCATGGAATCTACAGACTGGGACCTTTTCAGAGCTGCCACAGACAGCTTGGATGAATATACGGACACTGTGACGTCATACATCCACTTCTGTGAGGATAGCATCATTCCAACAAGGACCAGGGTCATCTATAACAACGACAAACCCTGGTTCACTGCTAAACTCCGGCAGCTCAGGAAAGCAAAGGAGTCTGCTTTCAGGGAGGGGGACCGCAGCGGCTACAAAGCAGCTAAATATCAGTTCAGGAAAGAACTGAAAGCAGCCAAGTCCCGGCACAGAGAACGACTACAGGAGCAGTTTGGTAACAACGATACTGCTTCTGTCTGGAGGGGCCTACGGGAGATCACCAACTACAAACCCAAAGCCCCCCCCTGTGCTGATGACCACAAGCTAGCTGACGATCTGAACCTATTTTTCAGTCGCTTTGATGCTGCCCCTGACACCTGTCCCTCCCCCACCCCCCACTACTCTAACGACCCACCCATCAGCCCTGCCCCCAGCCTAACAATAGCCGCTAAAGAGATTAAACAACTCTTCCTGAGGCTGCACCCCCGCAAAGCTCCTGGCCCGGACCACGTGTCTCCGGCCACTCTGAGACACTGCGCCAGTGAGCTTACTCCTGTGTTCACGGACATTTTCAACACCTCTCTGCAGTCCTGCCATGTCCCGGCCTGCTTCAAATCCTCCATCATTGTCCCCGTCCCGAAGAAGCCCAGGATCACAGGACTCAATGACTACAGACCTGTAGCACTTACGTCTGTCGTCATGAAGTCATTTGAACGCCTGGTTCTCTCCCATCTCAAGTCCCTCACCTCCCCCCTCCTGGACCCCCTGCAGTTCGCCTACAGAGCCAACAGATCTGTAGACGACGCCATTAACCTGGCCCTCCACCACATCCTACAGCACCTGGACTCCCCGGGGACCTACGCCAGGGTCCTGTTCGTGGACTTCAGCTCTGCCTTCAACACAATCCTGCCATCCCTGCTCCAGGACAAGCTCTCCCAGCTCAACGTGCCCGATTCCACCTGCAGGTGGATCACTGACTTCCTGTCGGACAGGAAGCAGCGAGTGCGTCTGGGAAAGAATGTCTCGGACTCTCGGATTATAAATACAGGAGCCCCACAGGGCTGTGTTCTTTCTCCCCTGCTCTTCTCCCTGTACACCAACCACTGCACCTCCAGCCACGACTCCGTGAAGCTGATCAAGTTCGCGGACGACACCACCCTCATTGGACTCATCTCCAACAACGATGAGTCCGCCTACAGGAGGGAGGTGGACCGGCTGGTGTCCTGGTGCAGTGGTAACAACCTGGAGCTGAACGCCCAGAAGACAGTGGAGATGATTGTGGACTTCAGGAAGAGCACTGTCCCCCCGCCCCCACCCTCCGTGATGGACTCCCCCATCACCTCTGTGGAGTCCTTCCGTTTCCTGGGCACCACCATCACCCAGGACCTCAAGTGGGAGCCGACCATCAGCTCCCTCATCAAGAAGGCCCAGCAGAGGATGTACTTCCTGCGGCAGCTCAGGAAAGCCAAGCTGCCTGCACAGATGTTGGTGCAGTTCTACACGGCCATCATCGAATCCATCCTCACCTCCTCCATCACCGTGTGGTTCGCTGGAGCCACAGTCAGGGACAAACAGAGACTACAGCGCATTGTGCGCTCTGCAGAGGAAGTGATCGGCCGCAGCCTTCCATCGCTGCAGGACCTGTACGTCGCCCGAGCTCGAGGCCGGGCTGGTCGTATCACAGCCGACCCCTCTCACCCTGCACATGGACTATTCCAACCACTCCCCTCAGGCAGGAGGCTGCGGTCCATCAGGACTAGAACCTCCCGCCACAAGAACAGTTTCTTCCCCTCTGCTGTTGGACTCTTGAACACTTCTTAACCTGTCCCCCCGCCCTTTATAAAGTCACTTTACTGCCCATCATACGTCACTTTACTTCACTGTACTGCTGTCACCTTACATTGTGTGCACCATGTGCACTTGTATATTGTAAATAGTAACTGTAACTCTATTTTAAATTTAAATTTATTCTTTAGAAGTGTATTTTATTCTTATTTTTATTATCTCTTTTTGACTGTTGCACTGAGCCAAAGCAATTTCCAAGTCTGTGACCTCCCGTTACTTACGTTGGCAATAAAAATGATTCTGATTCTGATTCTGATTCTGAGAATAAAAATAAAAGTGGGTAAGACAAGACTTGAGTTACAATCTTTGCTCAACAATAATATTTTTTTTGATTTTACCTCTTTCTGCTGTTTATTCTCTTGTGTAAAACTGAAAGTGGGAGAAGCAGCGTCTTGCCATCGTGCTCCTTGTAAATGGAATACTCGGCCTAATTATACCAAATGTGCTGTGACACCAATTAAAACTTTTAGAGTGAATTAAAGACTGTAGTGATTTCATGACACTTTGAAGCAACTATGATGAAAGTTCTAACTCATCATTCTAACATATGCAGAAGACAGTACTTTTCCCTTGTTTTGGTTTTCTCAAGGTTGAAGCTACATGCACACTGTGGCAGCTGCTGATTGGACGACTCCATTCCTCCTGCTGTATATTGTCACTTGCAGTCTGTAAAATCCTTTGTTCGTGCTCGTGTTTGTGCGTCTACCATCAACAATAAAACATGTCTTCTGTCTGAATTAAAGACATGATCCCAGACTTTGTCATCTTCTTCAAGACTCAATCTGTGGTCTTGACTTAATGCAATGTCTCACTTGGCGTGGAGAACAGTTTTGCATGAAATGTATATAAATAATATGTCTCAAAAATAATTCAATAAAACATAAACAGGAAACAGAACAAACTTTGACTTCCCGGATTAGAGGGATTTTATATCAAAAAGGATATTAACCCTTTGATATTCACTCCTTGAAGAAAGCAATTTCATATTATTCTTTTTGGGATTTTTAAGATGTAATGACACAAATAATTTGAACTCCTATATGAACATATATATTTAAAAAAAAATCATTATTATAGCCAAATGGTTGTTAAGCAGTCTGATGGTAAAAGTGCTTTATAAGTGTGAGGCCCCAAAGAGGTTCATTTCAGTTCCAAGCTTCAAAAGGTGATCTACCAAATGGACATGGTAACAATTAAAAGGATTATTTTATGTTCAAAATAACTGATTATGGCCTGTAAAAACCTTTTCTAGTCATAGGGCGGTAAAGGTAGAATGCTTAGGGTGATCAAAGACTCGGATCAAAGCAGGTGTGTTACTAAACATTTACAATATACCAACTTTACACTGGTTCATTTTGATGAAAGAATCCAGATTTTCATTGCTCTTGTAGCTACACAGAGAGCTGTGATTTTAAGAGCCCCCAACATGTGAGACTAAGTCATAACTCTTTAAGACAAAAATGTGATATTTTCTGCATCTGGCAGAGGTGGCTGACTCGCGTCTAGACGAAAGCGTGTATCATCATCACAGACTGTAAGAGCTCGGTGATGATTCAGAAAAGGATGGAGAAAGCATTACCCCAAAGAGGAAAAGGAACAGCTTAACCTCTTCCACCCACTTCACAGCAGCGGAGGCAATGTCTCATCAGCAGGATATTAGTGAGAATGTGGCTGACGGGATATGAGCTGATGTAGAAAGATAAATACCTCTACAAGAAGACGTTTTTAATCAAGTAAAAGAGGAAACATCAGTAGGTTTAATAAAGGCTATACAACCACTTTAGAATCTCTACTTGAAATGACCAAAAGGACTGTATGTGTAGAGGCTTGGCTGCAGTTTTAGGGAGCCTCATGTTGACCCCTACCACAACATGTGCAGATGACCATTCCTTCCACATGAGAGGAGGAACTCAAGTTGAGCAGAAACACATTAACACGATAAAAGGCATATTCAAGGACTCGCCAAGAGTGACAGAGGGTAAAGACTAAACACATCAGAACACACTTTGCTGTCAGACAAAATACAGACATGTGACTCCCTGTTTGTTGAGTCTGATTCTTAAACATGGATACTAAAACGTACAACTTATAAAGCAAGGACTGGCTGTGGTTATGGCTGACAATAAAGGCCAAAAACAATAGCTGGTAATCGTCTGAGTAGAGACTGGACAGTTCAGTGACCTCTAGGCATCATGCAGCTGTTGTATCAGTAGTCTCTAGTATAAACAGTTTGTTTCTCTCTCTGGCTGATAGCTCCTATGCCAGTGGCCACACACACACACACACACACCTTACCTTCTGATAGGCCAGCTGTAGGTAGTTGTAGGGGATGCGCCTGTTGAAGTCCTGCAGGACATCCTCGCTGACTTTGTGCATAGACTGCGCACCTACGGTCTCCTCTGTGCAGGCGTTGATGCACGCTGCTCTGCGCAGGACAGTGTTGAAGAGGCGCAGGTCGCTGAAGTGGACCTCAAACGGATGCTGCTCCTGACAGCTGAGCCGGCACCGGACCCTGCAGCTGCGCAGCGTGGAGAAGCTGCTGAGAGCCGCCTCCATGTGGCGCACCACGGCAGAGTAGTCGCTGCGGTAGAACGCGGTCACTGCGCTGTCGTACAGGAGGTCATAGGGCTGGAGCCCCGCACAGGGCTGGGACAGGAGCGTCAGCAGGACCATAGACCAGACACACACGCACTTCACATCCATCCTCTCTGAGAGAGGCGCCATCACTGTCAGTCACAACACAGCAGGCTCCAGCGGGGAACGTCCATCTGAAGTGTCCAGGTCACAGAGGCGCGCACACTCGGGAACAGGCGGAAATGTGTGTTTTTAGTCAGGGACGCACATTTTGTTATGACCCTTCTTCTAGGCTTCTGGAAAACTCCTCCCCTTCGAGGAGTGAACAGCCCCGGCCCCCAGCTGAAGATGTGGGGGGGCAACACACCCACGCTCGGTCACTCAGACAGCACCACAAAGGGCCACACTGGATCATATCATTCCCGTTGCTTTAAAATAAAGTCACTTTGAAGAAAGATGCTTTTTTAACGTCATATAATGAAAACAGAACTCAGAGAAAGTAGGCCCCTAGGCTTATTATAGACTACAGTTCAAGTTTTACCTTAGTTTAATACTAACCTAACATAAAACTCGTTATAGATTCAAATTAGTTTGATTCCCGACAAATCCAACACAAAAGTTCTGACACTGTTGCTGATAGTCGCTCCAGCTCCTCTCGGAGGCTCGCAACACTTTTCAGACTCATGTAGTGTAGAATGACACCATCTAGTGGTTAACGAATAGACAGTTATGCATAGAGCAACATACTGCTGCTGCTGCTGCTGCTGATGATGATGATGCTGATGTGATGGTAGACCCGTGGGAACACCAGGTGCCACAGTGGGGTGACTGCTGCATTGTGCTAAACTGTTGTATGAGTCTGTTGGGTGGATGAATGATTGGTGGAAAGAGATTTGAAGCAGTTCATTTGGATTTGGGCTGCTGTGGTTACAGAAGCAGTTCATCATCACAGTATATGAACAATGCCATGTAAAGTGTCTTTGGGTGTAAGAAAAAGCACCCTTGTGACCCTAAAACCATGGGACTACAGATGGAAGTTAGCCTTTGGCTATAATCTGGCTTGTTTACATTCATGTTTCGTTGTGTCGGTTCATTGACATGCACGGTGTCATTTAAATAAACACAACAACAACAACAGCTTATTCTTGTATCGCCCTAAATCACGACAGAAGTTATCTCAGAGGACTTAACAAAACCATTGAAATCACCAACACAGATCAGAGAATCTTGAGTTCCAGTGAATGTCAACTTTCTTAATAACCATAATCCTCATCAAAAACAGTGTGTTATTTGTAGTAGCAACTTGGGGACCACCCCAAATACATTTGCAGGTTTGAACTCCCGAGCCATTGATTGGTGTAAGATCTTACTTTAAACACATGTATTCACATCTGTATTATCGTGTTCATTCTGCGATCACTTCCATTGTCTTTGAGAGCGTTGCTTTCTTCCAACTGAGGTGCTTCAAATCAAAAGGGGCCGTTTATCATTTGTAAGCAACAAACTAATTGATATCTGTGTTTCATTGTCACATCTGCAGGGATGACAGCAAATTAGGACAAAGGAAGGAAACCATTTGAGGCCAGGAAAATCCCCATTACTGGAGCGCTGCACAGAGCTCCCACACCATCGTCTAATGACTGCAAAATAACAGAGGAGATAAGAGGGTCATAGGAATGTGACCTGAACACTCTCATACTTTCTGTAACTAAATTACATTTTAATTTTTTTCAGCAACCATTCAGTAACCAACCAGTAAGCAAAACCATTGTGCTGGTCACATTCTTTTGAAAAGCAAAGAAAAGTCAAGTCCGAAAAAAAAATCTGAGAATACAATCATAGAAAACATTTATAACAACAACTGCTTATAAAAAAATAAAAAACACACAAATGTATTTACACAAAACAAAGAGGTGTTAAATGTCTGTAAAGTGGATCACAAAATGGCACTCATAGGAGTTCAGATGTCGGCTCTGCTTCAGGCACATTCTCTGTCAGACGTAGTTGGATCTGGGTTGACTTGTGGGAAGCAGGTGATTGACTGAAAAGGCATCAGTTCTGCGTGAACACCTGCGATAACACAGAAACACTCCACCTACAATACTGAGGAGGCTCCCGGCCCAGCTGACGAAAACCGCCTTCCCAAACTCAAAACTGAGAATAAAAATAGGTTAATTTTGAAAGAGTAAACATCCAATTATAAATCTTGTTCCTGTACCTTTGAAGACGATGGGCCAGCTTGTAAGAGTGGACAATCTGGCTGACATACCAGGAGGTGATGATGAGAGACAAAAGACCTATGGATTAGACGATTCTGTTGTTTATCAGTGCATTTGAATACTACATCCACTTCTACACAGCATGTATCTCAGCCACCTGCAGAGATGAAGATGATGCCTCCAGTCAAAGCCGTGTGGGCCTTGGTCTCCTTATTCCCGTCCAAAAAGCGGGTGCACTTCATCCCCAAAGTGGACACCAGGAGCCCCACGCCAGACAGGAATATACTGAGCAACATGACTGCTCTGGTGGCTTGGATCTCCACTGGGAGCACACAGAGAAAAACATGATGCTGTCGCTGTATACTGTTGTTATTACTATTAACCTGCATTTATTCAGAAATTGTATGTGAAAACTAAATGATTGAGTCTGAAACCACTAAAATCCATTACAGAAATAATTCAATAACTAGGTATCTTTACATAAATAGCGGCAGATGCAGTCACAAAAAGTTTTACAATTGTTGTGGGCATTTGTTTTCACCCCACATGATGAACATGGGTCACCTACAGCACCTATGGCTTATGTCGGACTTGGATCACCTAGAGGAAACCTACACAGACACAGGGAGAGCATGCAAACTCTACACTGAAATGCCCCATCTGGAGGTAGAGTTGAACCAAGGACCTTTTTGCTTTGAAGTGCTAGCCACTGAGCTGTGTATATGTAAGAAGCATGTATAGGGAAACGCTTGTTTGAAGCCAGGTCCCTGTAGAGTGAGCTCAGGTAACGTGTGTTGCTTTGGTGCCTGTATACAGTCTCTGTGTGTGTGGGTGCGTGTGTGTGTGCGCGTGTGTGTGCGTGTGTGTGGGTGCGTGTGCGTGTGTGTGTACGGGTATATGCATCCGGATGTATATCTAATAATTAGGGTGGTTTATGCGTGGGTCTGTGGGGCGGTGGGGTATATTGGGCATGTTGTATTGATTTTCACTAAGCTGTAAAGCAATTTGTGCTGCATTTTATTGTATGAAAAGTACTTTATTAATAAAGTTGGATTGATTGCTTGATTGATAAAGGGTTAACAATAGAGAGCAAATGCAATCCAAATTGCAAAAAAACGTTTAAATGATGTCATGATCAAATAAATAGCTAAAATAAACGTTTTTAACCAAATATATAGGAATGTATGTTTTTTAAAAGTTATTATTTAACCTTTATTTAGCCAGGAAAGTCCCATTGAGATTAAGAACCTCTTTTTCAAGGGAGTCCTGGACTATCTTATGTGAATAAAACAAGTAATTAACTAAATTTTACATATTCAGTTAATTATGTATTTTGTCGGTAAATTAAATCATGAACAATTGCAGAGCAGTATATTCACCCCACATCACAGACCTTTAGTGTCAGTGGAGGAACATTTGAAGAAAAGTTGCATTTACAGTATAATATGATCCACACGTGCGCGCGCTTTTACGCACCAGAGAGTTTGAAGATGGACTCGTGGACCTCGCACGTCGTCCTCTCGTATCCGCTGCAGCTCATCCACAGACCGTCGTAAATCTTGTGCGTCTTTCCTTGAGACTGTTTTTTCCATTCCACCATAAAAGTAGCGGCGATGGTGGCGGACAGACCCAAAAGTGCGAGCAAGAAGCCGAATATCTGAAGACACGAGCTGGCCATGGCTCCAGCAGACACCGTGAGGACACAATGTAAGAATGTGGGAATAAACACAGGTCTCAGGTCGTGACGGATCAAACTTTAAAATGAGAGGCTGATGGACCGTTACACGCGCACTTGTTATAAATCTTACGTGACGTGCATGCTCCACCTGCGGGGGATGATGGGAGCGCATCCAAATGACCAAGATGACATCACTACGGCCCCCTCCCTCATTATAAACATAGAGTGACGTGTTCTTTTAACCCACTATTGTTTTCATCCCTTTCTATTCTTATTTTTGACTAATATGTGACATTTAGCGTGAGAAACAGACTATTTATAGAAGTTCAAAATCAGTTCAAATGGATAAAACTATAAAGATAAATATGTTTCGTTCTATTGATTTATGTCCATGTGCAGTTAAGTTTCAGATTCAGATTCATATATTTGCCATTTGCAGGAAAACCACATTGGAATACATTTGCAAAAGTGGTATAAAGGTGTATAAAGTACAAGAAAGTACTGGTGCTTTTACCAATCTTTCAAACTGCCAACTTTCTGGACTAAGAGCAGTAGTCCAGCGGGAGGTCCACTCTGCTTAATGAGGGTAAGTTAACATGCTCAATTGTTATACATTACGTGCAATTCAGTAAATAATTTGTTTATTTTCCCAACACAATTATCCACCTCTTTTTTCCATATTTGGGGAAGGAGATGCCAGTTTGTAAACAGTGTATTTGTCTGTTAGATTGGATCAGGACCTGCCCTTTTCCTGAAATAGTCCCCAGACACAACAGTAATTAAGGTCACTGCTCTGCGCGCTGCACCACTGATTGTGTTGCATTGTCAAATATCAACACAGGACCATTTACTGTATTGTTTTGGGCTATTTTTTACAATCAGTCACAAGCTGAAAGATGCTGTGTATCGGAGGAATGGACCGTCACAAATGCAGGAAATGTTCAGCAATAGAAAAGAATATTCAAATTATAAACATCTCAGCACAATTCTATCTCTCGAGCCCCAGAGATAGAATAACAGAACAAATAAATATGCCTACACAACAATGTATTATTTATCAATTGCTTTATATGAATGATAATTTTTGACTACACTTTTCTCTTGTTGTGTCTGATCAATAATCTGGTTTGAACCCAAATGAACCAATGCAGTGAAGAGACAGAACGATTATATCCTATCTCAAGTTTTGACAATTTGACAGGTATTTTATCCTGACAACACAACTGTGTAAGAGTTGAAATTATAACTGGATTATTGTCCCCCATAAATAATCTTTTAACATTGATTGAAAGGCCTTGTCACAATATTAACTTACTACATTTCATTGGACTGATTGGTATTGCACAGTCAGCATAATAAACAATAGAAACAGTCATACAAAGTCAAAATAATTAAATAGAATAGTAGATACAGGAAGACAGCGCAGACGGAGCAAACACAAGAAGAAAGACACAACAAAGACGTGGAACAGTAAAATACAAAATGGGGGGTTTAAAACTAACAGTTAAAAGCTGTTTGATAAAAATGGGTTTTAAGAAGAGATTTAAAAGAAGATACTGATGGTGCTAGCCTTATCTCCTCGGGCAGGTCGTTCCAAAGCAGAGGAGCCCGGACAGAGAAGGCTCGGTCACCTTTCGTCCGGAGCCTCGACCTTGGAACAGGGACCTGCCCGAGGACCTGCCCGAGGAACTAAGGCTGCGGGGGGGCTCGTAGGGGGTTAAAAGTTCACAAATATGGCTGGGTTCCAGACCTAAACGAGCTTTAAAAGTGAACAGTAAAATCTTAAAATCATTTCCTAAACGCACAGGGAGCCAGTGGAGTGACGCTAAGACAGGGGTGATATGCTCCCTTCTGTTAATTCAATTCAATTCAACTTTATTCCGGACTCATAGTCCAATAAAATAAAATAAAATAAAAATAAAGGACAAGACAAACAATTAAAATGGCATTTTAAAAAGACAATCATGCCAATGTCTCCACAAGTCAGATTGATACCGTGTCGCACTCCATTTTATATTCGTGAGGGACACTATTATTTCATTTTCAGACGTGTTCAATCGACACATAAAGCTGTACATCAAAGTTCGTAGCACGGCCTGTAAAGTGTTCACTCTGGCATTAACAAACATTTCTGTGGCACTTGACCATCTCGGCTTTTTCAACACCACACGCAAAGCATCATTATAGGCCACCTGGAGCTTACGCATGCTGGCTTTCTTATAATGAGACCAGAGATGAGCTGTGTATAAGGGAGTACAGTACGCTTTAAATAACGTTAGCTTCACTCTCTCTGTACAACAGCCAAACTTCCGTGCCAGGGTATTAGCCTGGGCATACAACACTCTGCATTGTCTGTAAATGTCATCATCATCATCATCATGTTAATCCCAGTGAGAAGAATAGTGCATCCCTGATCATAATCATGATAATCACGTTTTTTTCCCACTCTTGTTTACTTCTTACAGATCATTTGCAGCCTTCCTCTTTATCGCGCAATCGCACATTCCCAAAAACCTCGGACACATTCATTGTCATCTTAGTTCTTCCAAAAGTAAAGACAAATTGACGAGCTTCGTGTATTTTTTCAATAGTTTTATTTCTTGGGTCTTATTTGCAATGAAGTTGAGATGCACTGGGGCTTGGGGCAGAATAGTTTAATCTTGCCTCATAAGGTTGACTTGGAGAGTCTGTATTTTGATCAGGTCCAAATGAATTTAATTTTGCATTTACAAGCGAGTAACTTCAAGGCCCTTACATGTCATAAGCAAGCAGTAACAATATCATATACCTTAGTAACAATCCAAGTAAAGAAATAATGGCCATGATAACACACGGACTCAGAAATGCACTTTATACTTTGGACCATTCAGAATAAAGTCTCCTATATTCGACTACACTGTGTTTAGTGACTCCCACAGATCTGCTGTAAACTAAATGCATCTGCATCAAGGTGAAGCTCGTCTGAGAAAGACCTTAACTACTTAAGGTGCTTTATCTTTGAGGAAAATCAAATTGCAAAGTCCATAAATGTGTCATCATTAACGTATCAAATCTGACCGGAGGAGCACCTTAACTTGCCCTAATGCAATTTTTATCAAAGGAATAATTTCCTTTGTATTGTATGTGTGCTTTATTAGTGGAACCCTTAACAATGTTAAACGGTGTATAAACACATTAAACGAGCCTAAAGGATGTCAAGTGTAGATTAGCTCAACTTTCTATTGAATTATGTGTTACAGCCCGTCCATCCATCCATTTTCTACCCCTTCATCCATTTCTGGGTCGTGGGGATGGCCAGGGATGCCACCCAGTCCACATAGCACCAGCCCCTGTTACAGCCCATGACATTCATACACAAATCAGTGTACCATTTTATTTCTTACAGAGACAAGGTCAAAGTAAGTTAAGGGATAGAAACATTCTAAAATTATGTGGATAACAAATAGGAAAAGAATTTCAAATAAAAGTCCTTCATTCCAATAGAGACATGGCGATTCGACTCCCCTCAGCTCTTCATCAGGGCATGTTATGAAATCATGTTAAATGACACAGGTAGCTAGATTGTTTTCATTTTATAAGCTTCAGGGAATAATCTTTTCTGACCCAAAAAGGGTAATAATGGTAGTCATAAACTTTCCACTTGATAAACCTTACTGATTGAAATAAACCAGTATTGCAAATATATCAAATGTTAATATCACTATAGTTGAATATTTAACAGCAGTTCCAAAATAGCAGTCGTGTCTCGCGTGAAGCCAAAGTGATTGTTAGGTGTTGAATGAGTGAAGCTCTGCTCTGACCTCCCAGCAGCCTGAGCACAAAAGCACATCCACCCTCAAACAAAGGTGTGACACTATCACTGCTGAAACCTCCGGGACATAGTTGAGGGCAGAATAATGCAGTCTTTCTGTCTGTGTTGTTCTTATGGCTGCAGATAGTTCTACAGACAGGGTCAGAACACTGGGTCAGAACACTGTCACTGTAGTCAGAGCAGTTCCGTGTCGTTTGGCTTGGGCCCGGGCCATGTGAGGACTTGTGGAGGGTGACTCCCTGAGCAGGAGCTGGTCGGGTGTCATTCCTGCAGCAGGCTGAGCTCTGAGGCCTGGGGACAAACGGCCTGCTCTTCCTGGTGGAGCATGTGCTGTATGGTTATCATGTATATACTGTGTGTACACTTATGTAATTCTACTTATGGTGTAAAACATATGAATGTGTGACATGCAAAGTGAGATATATCAAGCCTTTATTTGTTATAATGTTGATAATTGGCTCACAGCTTGTAAACAAACCCAAATAAAACATCTCAGAAAATTAGATTATTTTGGACCGTAAGCCACAAAAATCACAATTATAACTAACAAAGGCTTGCCATTCATCACTTTGCACATTACAAAGTGTCTATATGTCACATATTGAATTCACATTTGACGTATAACTCCAGGAATAAATTAACTTTTGAACAATATAGTTTTCCCAGTTTCCCTTGTATATGAAAGGATGGTTTAAGATGGTCAGGCGCCTCATGTTGGCACTTTAAGTTGGCAAAATGAACAAAATATTGGTAATGACAGCTTGGATAACTCCCTTCACTGAAATACATGACTGAGTTTGGTAAGTTTTTGAAGATAGAGTCTAATGTTTGCTGCACAGGTCAAATATATCCAGTGTGAGAAGTAAATATAGTAAACAAGTTTATTAGTGCAATAAAAACTGAGTAAGTTTACCCACTGTGTTCTCCTATTTTTAACATATTTTTCCCACTTTTCCTGATTGGAGCAAAACAAACATTCATACAGTATTTATAGCCAATACCATCACACCAAATTAAGCTAAAATGCAGAAGAAAAAAAACCATGACGTTTGATTTTCTCTCAAACCTCGAGTTCCATCTGCAGCCATTCATGTTATTCACATCCTTCATATTATCAATAAAACATCTATGTAACCTGCTACAAATCTTATTCCCACCCCTGTAGTGACTGTCTCCCCCAGCCCACGGCACCTGTCCCGTCCTCTTTAGCATTCAAAGAAACTTGTGCACTGAAAATTGAATAAAATAGACTGTAAAAACCAGCAAAAATATTTGGACAGGACGTTAAAAAAGTGCTTTCGAAGTTACAACTCTGCCCAAATGCATTGTTGATCTTCTAATACATGATTGCAGTGTTATATTTCCTATGTGCCATGCCTTGATTACACCCAATAGAAGGCAGAGCTGTGGTTTTCTGTTATGGGCCGGATTAAACTCTGCCTAAATAGTTCTGTTCTCCTCTACCGGTTTTTCCTGAAGATGCGCCTAGGGCTTTTTTCATGTCAGCCAAAAAATAAATACAAATAGACAAGCAAGTAAAGTGTATATAAAGTGAAAAGAGTTGTTTGAGCAAATTACTAATGTTTGTGTTTGGATGTTATGTGTATGGGAGATGGGTTTGACAGTGAGTAAATACAGGGCTCTGTCAGACTCAGCAGGTTTCACTCTTCTGTGGCAGTAATGAGAGTGGGTGTGTCTTCAAGTCTGGACACGGCATGCTGCACTTGATAGACAGCTGTGTGCACTCCTTTACCTGCCAGGTGAGCCATGGGAGCAGAGCTACAGTGGCAGTTTAGCCCTTTCCTACACAGGACCGTCCCAGAGGAGAAGGACCACCACGGGACAGGTTCGTTATCAGGACAGGTGCTGGTCAGTGTGTAATTTTCTTTAGTGTTTTAGAGTTGTAGGGGCCTGCTCAGCGGACACCTGTCTCTACATGGGACACCTCACAGAAGAGCCTTGTGAGATACGAAGGAACACTAACTTTTACTTTTCTTAGATCGGAAACAGGTCGATCTGATGCTTGTCCATTCATTTTCTTCATAGGGTAATTGTGTTACCCGCACAGCTAGAAACTTTGCCTGGGAATTTATCTGCTCAAAAATTTCAGTCATTGTTTCTGGTCGTGTGTGTAATGTAAACAAATCTTTTAAGATGTTTTGTATGTGGACATCATCAGACATTATCACTTTATAACTATGATTACATACTCTAGTAATCATAGTTATACTCTAGTAATCTAATAATCGTACTGGATTTCTCGATACTAGTGTAATCTGACGGGCTTTTCCTCAGAAGCAGTGACACATCTGGTAATTACCACAAGCAAAGTACCAGTATGTTTGGTATGTTGGCGAACCAGCTCCACTCAGCCATCACTTCCTGAAGGGTGTAACCTGCACTTTTACTAACAGTGACAGGGTTTAATTAGAAGATGCCATTAGGAGTGACGCATACTCCTCATTCAAATTACTAGATTCTCACTTTTGGTATTCATCTTACAAAACCATGTTGTACAATTCAAAATAAAAACGTGTGACATTTATGCCTGACTTCAGTGTTTGTTTATGTAAACAGTGTGTGCTCAGTTATAGGTGATGGTTTCCACTTTAACACCAATTATTTCACGTTATTAAATAGATATTTTGAATTTCAATGTTACAAATGAGAACACACACTGATTTGTAATTAAAGAAACATGCCATTTTGTTAAAACAGATATATAGCATCAGTGGATCAATTACCGACACAAACACCAGTCTATTAAATTCAGTTACCATTTATTATACTGAGATGCAACTAAAATCTAGTTTCAGAATGCATTGACACTGTTCAATGATGTAATAATTCATGGTATAGATTGCATACAAGCTCTAGGTAAAAATGTCCATAATATTTATCTTTCTCACATCCGATGCACACCTTACGCAGCTTTGATCAATGTCCACTAGGTGACGCTCTAACAGAATAGAAGAGCACACTTGACTTAAGGGCAGCTCTGCTAAAAAGCCGCCTCTACCACGTGAAGCTCTGTCCCTGAATGAAACATATGGCACAACCCGTGAGTTCAACAGCATTTAGCACATACAGTAGAAAACATCAGCACACTACGGGCCAAACTAAAAAAAGAACAGCTCATTCATCACATGGGTCCACATCTGTACGACTGAAGACTTTTATATTCAATATGAACACAAACATCTACCATAACAACCAAACACCTGCTTATCCTGGACTCACTTCCTCGTTTTCGGCCTATTGTGCAAGTGTTTGTTTTCTCCGCAGGCAGGAAGCAAAGCCCGACTTCAAACAACAAAGTAAAGAGACATAAAAACATAAGTGGAGGGATTTTTTTTTCATTTAACAAAATAAAAACAAAAAAAAACCTCTGCTAAAACTAAAAAAATCTTGTTTATATTAAAATTTATGACAAATAAAACATGATTTGATATTTACATTTAAATAATACATTGTCCACTACTTAGCTGTTGTATGTTTTACGGCCCTCGTGCATCCATCCCTTATTGTTCATGAGTCATACAGAAGGCAAGATTAGTATTGAAGACGGAAGAGAGGAAAAGTACAGTATATTTGATAGTAAACCTTCTAATTCAGTTAAGATTATTGGCTTTTGTGGCTGTAGCCCTTTGTATGTAGTGAAATCAGAGAGAGTTGAGCTGAGTCGAGATACATGTCGCACAGTTTCATACATGCATGCACATACAAACGACGAGCCACTACTAAAGTGCACAGATGGAGAGAATGATATGAAAGTTGTAATATCCCAAACCACTGGCCTTTACAACCACTTCAAAAATCAACAATAAAAAGTCAATATCCAACTTTACTCAATGGCACATGGTTATGGCCTGTATATACGTAGCTGCCGTGGTTGTAGCTTTTAAGACAAGGCAGCCATGTTGGAGAAAATAGGCACGTCCCATGAGATAGAAAAATGTGTTTTAAACAAACTCTCAAAAGTAACAGTTGCATGTTCAACAAAAAGGAATGGTGGAGGTCTTAACTGGTCGTTATATGTCCCCCGGTCAAACCTTTGTAAAAAGTAAATAATTTATCTTCATCATTGAAACATATAAAACAAAAACAAAAAGGATTGCACCATTATCACGCACAGACTCCTTTCGTTTGATTCAACTTCTCATGGAAATTCAAATGTTCCAATGTCACCACTGAGATTGTCCCGAGGCTTTTGGTCAAGCACGTGTGTAGACGGATGGATGGGATAAGGGCCCGAACTGTCTGGACAAGAGCCTGAGTCACCGCTTGTAATAGGCACCTGGAAATGAACAAAAGGTTAAAAAAAAATGTGATCGCTTTAACAATGTCACGTACCACAAACACACTGGACAATTCGACTAAACTGGCATGGTTTAACACTGTATAGTTATTGAATATACAGGTGAACTATTTTTTCTGAAGTCCATTTACCTATAACTAATTAAAATTATGATGGGAAATTATAACACTGGGTAACAAAAAAATATTTTTTGAAAATCGTCCAGGGTTTTCCAGCTGAATTAGACTCATTTTGATGCTGTGAGTCTGAACATGACCTTGGTTTTGCTCAATCAGGTCAGGATTTTTTGCTACAGAAATATTTTTTTTAAATCGATTTTGCGTAAAAAAAAACAAATTTCTGCGGATCATCAGCTGAGAAACCCTTGACGTTTTTTCCGTTTTCCTCAAGAAATAAAAGTCAACGTATCCAGTCATTCCGTTTTTATTTACTCCATCAAATTTGATAATCAGAATTCATAATAACGTAGACGTACATAATCCGTAACACTATGGCTGTATCTCAAAAATTTGACCTGATAGAGCAAAATGCATGCGATAATCGGACTCAGAACACCAAAATTAGTCTAAATCAGTTGAGAAACCCCTGACCATTTTTTGGCTGTCAACTTGTGTAATATGGCAGAATCCTTACACGCAAAGTGAGAGATCAAACCTTCATATGTTATAATGTTGATAATTAATACTCAAAAGAATCCAACCCCCTCCAAAAGGCTACATGGAAAATGAACTGTAAGCTTTAATCATCAAGAAAGGATCCAGACTCATAACATGCAGTGACATGAATTATAGAAATAAATGAACTTTTAATCTATATTGCAATATTTTTAATGATCTGATTTGACTTGTAAATTGCTTTTTACCATATAAATATGAACAAATTACCAAAACTTTGCAAATTGTACAGTCAGATGTTTTGTCAAATATTACAATGCAATCCAATCATATGTACTCCAGATATATTCTAACGACTGAGACATTGCTCCATAGTAGTGTTGTTAGTGTTAGTCCAGATTTGACAAACATTTGTGCTGTCAAATCTGGACTAATTTAATTTCCCCATAGGAGTTTTCAAAAATACAAATATAAAGAGTCTTTAAAGGCACGTGATAGACTGCAACGAGGCCTTATGGTCAAGCTTTATGACTTTAACTTATTTTGTTTACTAAAATGTCCATAAGCCACAAAGGTAAAGTGGCTCTTCTCCCTGGGTCTCAAAGCCTGTAATGTTAACTTTATAATACTGCTGCATTCATAGGAGGAAACACAAGGTGTGCAGTCACTTTGGACTCTTGCATAGAAACTGAGAAATTAATATAACCTTTTCACCTTTTCAAAGCTCTGGTCTACAAGTGTAATTATAATATTGTTATTAGGATTACCTCTGCATGTAGGCTCTGGTCTGTTGGGGGCCCGCGGGGGGAGGGGCTGGTCTGGATAGCTGTAAGCAGGGTTTGAGTTGGCGTAGTCGTGTGACCGGGGCTGAGGAGGCCTTGGAGAAGGACAGCGGATGTTTAAACTCATTGACTTGTACCAAGAGATGTGTAGTGTGTACTCGACTTTGGGTCCAGGGCTCCGCTATGTGCACAACTAGTGTCACATATACACACCATTTTGAATAAGACTTTCCAGGTTTAAACACCATTTTAGCCAGAATCTTTGAGTGCGTATACAGAGCATAAGAATACAGACTGTTAAAAAACAAACAGGGTTGTGTGAATTAATCCTTTAGAAACAGATTGAGTGGCCTATATTCGTCCAAATACATACATTTCTAATACAAGCGTGTTTATTCTCCGACATTGGACAGTACTGTCCAATGTCGGAGCTACCTGGAAACAAGGAAGGGTAGAGCTACCTGGAAACAAGGAAGGGTAGACCACCTACCACAAGGTAGGTAGTACCACATGCTCAGACTATGGCCCCTCACAAAAAAAAAAGTGGTTGTGGACCAATGTACTGTCCAAGTCTTATTCGGATCCGATTGCCGAGTATGCATCCAGCTCAACCACATTAGAATGGAAAGGACTGGTTTTTCAAACCTCAAATTGGCGTGCACAGGTTTTCATGCGTTTTTATCAGAGGATTTGATTTTCACTTGCGTTTCGTTCTCACTTATGATGCTGTAGTGTAAGCTCCTTCTTAGCTACCTGGAAACAAGGAAGGGTAGACTCCTTTGGGAGGTAGTACCACATGCTCCGACTATGGCCTCTCACAAATAAATAGAGGTTGTGGACCGGGTTCTTACCTGGAAGGTTTATTGTGGTTTTTCTGTCTCTGGTATTCATGTTCGTCTCGTGTCCTTGGCCGAACTACTTCCTCTGAATTTGGCTGAGAAACGCAACAGAATAAAGTATGACAAAAGTGAACCCATGACTTGCTGCAGAATATGATGAGGACAGTACACCTCACACTTACGCGATATTCTGCTTCATATCTCTTTCTCTCCGCTGCCATCCGGTCTCGCTCCTTCTCCTTTTCCCGCTGCCTCTCCTTCTCTCGCTCACGCTGTCTTTTGAATTCTTTCTTCTCTTGTTCCATTAGCAGGCGTGCAATCTCCTACAAAACACAAGAAGGCAGCACTTTTAGAAGGTGGTCTGAATACATTTGACATATGGAATATTGATACTCACTTCATCTTGTGCAACTTGTGCAGCACGTGAAACCATAGTGTTTGTCTATGATGAGATAAGATATCATTCACAGATGCAGATCACATATAAACAACACAGATAAATTCACTATTATTTTTTTTATTCACAATTTTGACTACATATTGATTAATGATCTTTACGACACATCCAGGGATACACTAGAGCTGCCTGAAACCGGACAGTTATTTATTCTTATAGCGCCGCTATTTTCCCAAATCAAAGCCACATTTCTGTTTTCTAAAGTTCAGTCACATAATACACTTCTTACATGAAGTTCTTTTAGCTGAAGCTGCCTGGCCACTTCTCGGTCCTGCTGCTCCTGATCATTGATGTCCAGTTTGGTCAGGCCCATCGTGGCTTCCGTCAGTTTGGAATCATTCTCTGAAACAACTTCTGCACTGCCTTTGTGCAAAACACAACCAGTTTATATTAGAAACAAGGCACATACTTTTAATCAGGGGACCTACAGAACATTTAGAACTGTGATTAACAATCAAACACTACAAATGTCATCAAATGCATTGATCTCCATTCTAATAATTTAGTTAAATTTAAGATCGCAAACAAAAGATGGACTAGATTTGTTGACGATTCAATCTATTAAAAAGGTGTTTTAAGTGTTCTGTGTATAGAAAAAGAAATGTATAAATCAAAGAAACAGAAGAATTACTAGTAAAGCCCACAAAAGAAGCAGTTTGAGTGATTATTGAGAAAGCCGCCACCTCAGACTACAGCAAAAGCCCTTCAGCACACAGCAGACGAGAGGCCCAGAAGGCTACCTGTGTCTGCGTATGGGCGAGAGTGCACCCTCTCTCTGACAGGACCCTCCCAGTCCTCCCTGGTCTCCACAAAGACGTCATCAGGGCTCGACTCTGCTCTCCGACGGCCTCTTTCCCTTCTCTCCTGCTCCAGCTCCTCCTCCTTCCAGGACGCCCTGTTCCTCCTCAGATCAGGACTGGTGTCGTAGTAGTCCGTGTCCAGGACTCTGTCTCTGCTACGTGTCCGTGCTCTGTGAGGGTCTTTGTGCCTGTGCCGCTCCTTGCTCTGGAGCCGATCAGCACTGAGACCCCTGTCGTGCCCTCCACTCTCATATCGATCATACCGTCGGTCCCGCTCCCAGCTTTTGTCTCTTTCCCTGGTGGTTTGAGGAGGAGGGGGTCTGGTCGGCTTCTCTCTTCTCCTCACTACCACGTTGCTGTCCGCTGTGTGGCGTCGGCCTGTCTCTGTCGGGACATAGTCTGGGCATGTTTCTCCATGTTTTCCTCTTGGAGGCAGCAGGTGCTCAGGATAGGGGTCTGCGTGTCTGCTTCGACTGCTTTCGGCCTCGGGGAAGTGCTTTGAGTGGCCGTGGGGGGCTGCGGCATCACCTTTGGGGTACCTGCTGCGTTTGGATTCAGTGGAGGAGTAGTCTGGAGAGTAATCACGATGTGGACTCAAAGGAGCATAAGCCTCGTGTTGACTGGGAGAGAGCGATCTATATTTACTTGGTCTATCTAAGTCCAGAAGCCTTCTCACTGTGATCCCAGTTGGATGAGTATGAGCAAGGTTTGGAGACAATGCCATGAAAATGTGAGGGGAAAAAAAAAATGAATGAACAGAATGAAAAGGAGTTAGTATTAGGACTGGGTATCTTTCAGAGCCGATACAAAACTATATATGATTAAAATAAATAATAAAGTAAAAGTCAAACCTGTACTCCCCTAGTTAGTAGTTTAACAATTTATATCAAGCAATGTCATGCTAAAAAATGTTATATTTTAGCTGCACCCATCCCATGGTTGAACTACACAGGGTACAACACATGCAGATGGTTAATGTAGAAGAAAATGGATCCACAAAGCACAAAGTCCTTTAATAATGCGTGATGATGATTGAATCATATGATATAAAAAGTTTTGACAGCAAACAAAAAGGAACAAAGACAGACAGAACCTGCTCTGTCATCACAGTCAGCACAGTGGAATGTGAGCTGCCCGACTGCCAGTGAAACGTTGATCAGAAAAAAACTATTTGTCTAGCAAAGGAGGAGCTCGACTCTTATGTGAGTAAGTGTTTGACCGTTTCTGTTGTTGTCTTTCGTCCCTGGGAGCAAAGAAATTAAAATGATTATATGGTTTTTCGAGATTTTGGACTTTGAGTTTTTAAGACATTATTTGGTGGGACAAAACAAATATTTTAGAGCATTCAACAGTTTGCCCAAAAAACGATTACTGTTCTTTCGATCTTATCAAACAGCCCTAGTTACAGTGGAAATTTAGACCAGAGGTCAGAGCAGGTTTTAAGTTTATTTACGCTGCACTTGCATCACTGTAGACAAGACTTTCAACTTTGTTCATTAACTGATGGATATTTTGGACTTAAAATGTATTGTCTGTACATTTGCTTAGATTTAAGCCATTACTACTTTGATATGGCGAACCTATCCTTCATGTATTTTTACTAAGGCCCATTATGGAACTTGTAATAAGTATTCAATGCAATAAAATGTGAAGACTTACACTTCCAATACTTAAAATTACTTTTATGTAACCCATGGTAACCAGGTACCAGCGCTCACCTCCTTGATCCTCAAAGCACTCATCAACGTTTGATTCCAGATGCTTTTGTCTCTTTCTCTCCTCTTTCATCTCCTTCTCGTAGAGTTTTCGAGCAATGGCCTAATAACAAGAAACAAAATCAGTTGTAGCAAATATGGCACGTAATCAGGGTGATCGGTGTCTAGTTGTGCACATGAGGGCAATGAATGTAGTCACTGAATATTTACAGTGATAGATTTACTGAAAATATATTTTTGCATTAATTATACCTGCAATACTATATATCCATCCATCCTATATATATGCATTATATTAAACCTAACTCCAAGCTTAAATGATGCAAGAGCATTGTGTGGTTTCTTACAGCATCCTTCTCTTCTTGCTGTCGCTGCCACTCTTCCTGTCGGACTAGTTCTTCCTGAATCTCATGAGCGATCTCAGTGTCTTGACGCTCACTTAAAATCCCGGAAGAAGAGGGAAAAACAAACAGGAACAGAAAAAAAACTCAGACACACAAATAATTTGTTTTCTAGAAAGATATAAAGCAGAAGAGCCTGCCCCCCCTTCCAAATGCCATAAGGATCATGCACCAGCTTGTTTGATTAATATATATATTACATTTATTTTAAGTAAGCAAATCAGGGTCACTCCCACTCTCGGACCTTCTTGCTGTGAATCATGAGTGCTAAACGCTGTTCCATCAGGAACTTCAAATCATACTTAGAATGTGCTCATATAGTATAATAGTCTGGTATGGCAGCTTTACAACTAAGACTAATACATGTGTCAAACAGTATTTATGCATCACTTATCCATTTGACAGAACTTGGTTAAAATACCGTAACAACAAAACAATAGGGGACAAGTACAAGCACCTTTGCTTCAGAACATTCATGGCTTAAGGCATGAATGTCCAAAATGTTCTTATGTTCGGAATGCCATGGATCACTTTCACTTACAGGGCTAACAATGTGGTGTACAGCAATGTAACCTCATACTTCAGATGCATTCACATGCATGTGCTCATTCTTCTGTTCAAAGCAATCTCAAGGTAACGGCATTTAAAGCCTCATCAGGGTAGAAGAGTGAAAAAGAATGCACTATCTGTTGGTTTATCAAATTAGTTGTGTCATGACTCATTGGCATGGATGTCCTAGTTTGTTAGAGAATGTTCTGCGTGTGAGTGAAGCACATACATAACAGTCTTCTGCTTCCTGCTCTGAACCTTTGCCCTCAGATCCTCTTCTTTTTGCAGTCTTTTGGCCACCTGCAGGTCCTGCTGCACCAGACGACTCTTGTGGACGTTGGAAGCCAAGTGGCTCTCAACTGTGATGAAAACATAAAATATTCCCATAAACACAGAAGATGTGTCAAATACTAACTGAAGGCCTAAAGTAGTTTTGTAGTCCTCTAAAGACACTTGTGGAGGCATTGACCTCAGCCCCTGAAGAATGAACATGGTTGTGCTGGTGACGCACTCTCTGCGATCACTAAAAACAGCATCACTCACTTTTGCTGTTTCACCTGGTTATCAATCCTATCTCGGCTTTCAGGTGAAAAGGACAAAATTACATCGGAAAATTCACCCAGAGATGCTCCATGAAGTTTGTAGTTTGAGACTTGAGGGATGGATCGAAAAACAGAGAGACATAGCTGTGATAAAGGGTCTATCGCACTGCATCGATTTTTTCACAGAAGATGACGTTGAAGTTTATGATACTGCCATCAGAACCTAAAATACAACAACTATCAATTAAAATCTGACACCCTTTTCAGTGGGAAGATTTACCCCGCTTTAAAAACAAGTATTTTGAGATGTCAACAAGCGTTTTTTGTGGCCTATTTTTAAAATATATTTTAAGGGCTACAAATTAGCAAGAGGTAGGCACTAATGCTAATGCTATCCATCCATTCATTTTCTTCTGCTTTATCCGTTGCTGGGTTGCGGGGGCAGCAGTCTAACCAGAGGCGCCCAAGCTTCCCACACACTGCTAATACAAAGCTAGCAAATAGGGCGTTTTAGGAGGTTATTAAATAATGTTTATGGCTATTTATAGGAAAAGGTTTATCTTTATAGAAGAGAGGGAAAGTACTTTATTCGCGGAAGGTTTGTATAGATTATGGAAAAGTTGTTATTTTTGTGGTTGGGTTAGGGTTCATTCATTTTCAACCCCTTTATTAGTCCATTCCTGGGTCGGGGGGGTGGCAATGAGAGCTGCCACCCAATGCTCAGAGCACCAGTCCCTCGCTGATCTTCTGCAGGGGGTGAGTCCACAGGAAGATGGCTGCTCCATCAGTTGTGAAACAGCCTTGATCTTTCAGCAGGGGCTTCAGGCAACGTGGGGTTAAGTGTCTTGCCCAAGGACACAACAACAGCAGTGATCAGTGGGAGCAGTTGGAGTAGGTCCCATGGTGGGAATCGAACTCACGACCTCCAGGCGCAAAGGCCAATGCTCTACCAACTGAGCTACTGGGTTAGGGTTATACATGATAAATGTACATTTATTGAATATGAGTTTGGATAATATCTTTAGTAGTTTTTGGTATGACAATCCTACAAGTATGTTTGGATTGAAACAGAACTGTTGGGGTTCTGCTGGAAACGGCAAAAACTTAGCATGAATACTCATTTGTGTACCGGTGCTTTCATTTAAATAAATGCGTGGTGTCATTCATTTGTTTTGGTTGTAGATTGTGTTGGATACAAAAATATGCTGAGAAAAACTCACCCTCAAGTGACCAATTAAATCACTCAACCCTTTCCGAGTGGCCTTCGAGTCACTGGTAATGTTAAAGCTGGACTAACTTACTTTTTGACTTTGAAGCAGCAGTTTCAAAAGTGAGCGCTGCCCTCACTCTTTCTGCTCCCCTTCCCGCACTCACGAAGCTTTCGCCACCCATTACCCCCCTCCCACTCAAGCACGTGCTTGTTTGCGGTTGTTTACAAAGCTAGATACGTCTCTTTTTTTTGCCCAAAAACAAATGGAAATGTCGCAAGTATTTTTTGCTCCTCGTTTGTTGCATGCCCCAGTGCTAAAGTAGTCCCGTCAGCCTCGCTTCCTGGGTGCCTTTCTCCTGGTCCTTCATACGCTTCGTCTCTCTCCGTTCTTCTAGGGACTTTCTTTTGGAAGGCTATTTCGCTGTATAAGGAATAACCGGTAACGAAGAACATGGGAAGTTTCAAGTTCGCCTCTGCAATATTATAAAAATAAAGTGAGGTAGTCCAGCTTTAATAGTACATACATGGATAAAGCTGTGGTCATGGACCAGCTGGACAGAGACGACATCACTACGTTTTTCACTGCTCAGTCAGGCCGATACAACAAGGATGTATTCCCTTTCTCAAAAAACTCATCAATTCTAGGTCCGGTAGGCAGCTCTTTTGTAGCGTTGGACTTCAATTTCTTCTCTGGATTTGACCCAGCGGCTCATAATGGTGCTGCAGCTCTAGGGATAATAGTTTTCTTACTTTCTTGTTCTTGGAGGTTGTATGCCAGGCTGTGGTCTTCAAGCACGGCAAAGTCACGGCAAACTGAAAAAAGACAAAGTGTGGATGAAAATTGTTTTAAACATACACATTGGTATTCGTTAAATTATACATTTGGAATTAAGCATCTTGAAGGTGCAGTTTTCAGTAGCTGTTGTATCACTCATCTGATTAAAATCAAATGTGATTGACAAAAATAACTACATCAGCATTGTCATTCCAGAAGATTGGATTCCTCAGGCCTCGGTGTCATCTGCATTTAAAATATATCACAGATGAGGCATCTGAGTGAAGAACATTGGTCTACAAAAGACTGATTTGGGTGTGCACATAATATTAACCATGTCACCAGATCTTATGAGTACTAAATAAATATTTGTTTCATTTGGAGAGGAGGAAAATAACAACAAATGACACTTAAAATCTGCCCTGTCCTATATTAAGATCAATCTGAGTTATCTTTTAAATGTGTCAAGGCCTACGCCAGTCACAAACACGATTAACAGGTCCATATGTTTAATCTTCTTATTGCTGGCTGGGATTATACAACAATGGCTGTACAATGGACCATATTTATGACCCCCAAAACAGTATGCATGAATCCAGACATATTTGAACTGGTATGTAGTTAGTATGAAAATGGAATTAGTGACTTTGGGCATATTGCAAGTATTTCATTAAAAATAAATATTCTTTTTGCATAAGGTTAGCCAAAGTCTAAAAAGTTTAAGGCTGATGCCACCTCTCGACTATCAGCCATATTCGACAGCATCGATCTGATTGATTCTACTGATACCTATGAGCATGAATAAAATGTATACATCACTATTTGTGAGGCCATAGAAAGGTGTAAAATGCATGTCGCGGACCCTCTGACCGGAATAACAAGCATCCTTCTAAGCAGCTGCTACAACAGGATGGACCCTTTCCTGCAGCATGTGTGACAGTGTTACTGATTTTAACTTTGCAGTGCACCCCAAACCCTTTTACAGTGGCAGGAGAACCTGAACCAGAAACAACATGGCATCTATTTCTCTACAAGCTGTGAAAATAAGAGAAATAAACTAGAAATCAAACTAAAAAAACTAGTGCAATATAATATGTATCATATTAAAACATCTTGCAGGAAGACCAGAAGGTGTGTAACTAACCTGCCCCCAATAACACACTGCTTTAGTGAAAATAGGCAGACGTCTGCAGCACCTGCACTATTATAGTGCAACACTGGATTTAAGAACTGACTGGGTTGGGAGAATACAACAATATTATGAATACGACTTTAGCCCGACTCAAAGGCTCCAGAAATGACTTTTAACGATGAGGGAAATCAGTGCTGAATGAACCCAGCCCAGCGGACTGTTGTTAGCTACATTAGCACACATGCTAACACCACCAAACACTCAGGTACGATCCCCCACGGCAGCCGTCCCTTTCATATAAGCACATATGTCTAAGGGAGAACGATAGTTAAAATATGTTACCCTCTTTGACTCCAGGCAGGTTTTTCTTGTCAATGCTAACAGATTCAGCCATGTTGTCACGGATAATAAGTCAAAACAGCAGCGCTGACGTGAATTACACTTCCGCCTTTTCCCCGAAGGTTAACACCACGAGTGGAGCAGATTGATCGATCGGCTTTGCTCATAAAAACGACTGATGATTGGACGCTGGAGGCCTGCGGATTAGTTTGGCTCTCCGCTGGTTCCTGTCGGTTCACGGAGCTGGGTGTCTGTGGTGTCTGCGAGCATCCTCCACTTCCCTTCTTCCTCTTCCTCTTCCTCCTCTTCCTCTGCCGGTGCTGCTCACGTGCGCCTCAATCCGGACCCTTGTCAAAATTAGACATGTGTCAAATAACACTATAGTTCGGTTTCCGTCCGAACATGGTCCTAACTGGATTTGTGAAACTCTACAGAGCTCACGGTGAAGAGCAGCTCGACAAATTCGGTGACCAAATTTGACCAAATACATAGTTCCCACATGACGTCACTACATACGGGGATTTTCCGACCCGGCGCCATTTGTGTTGGCATTCTGTGGGAAAAACAATAGAAAAAGAAGCTGAAACGTGTTAATGTCGTGATAAAGTTGAAAATGGTCATCTCCTGCTGGGTCAATGGATGTTCAAATCGTGCCGGAGGTTCCGTTAAACTTGGATTTTACAGTATACCCATCATTAGACTTCATGAATGTGAGAAGACTAAGCTTTTGTCAGAACAACAACGGAGGTTATGGCTTGCGAAGATAAACAGGCAAGAAACTCCCTCAAAACACGCAAGAATATGCTCGGAGCACTTTGTGTCAGGTGCGTATCGTATCTTATAATGTGTTGACAGACGTAATTTACTCAGTACTAACTTGTGTATGCTGATATCTGGTAACTTGAGAGTTTCATTATTTAGATTACTTTATTATGAGGAGGATCGGTGTCGCGTCCGAGGCTCTCGAGGGTAACGTAAATGTATTAAATAGATAATAATAGTTCTATGGTGGGCTAAAACAATGTTCACAAACAGCATTGCTTCTGTAAAAAGATCTGTGTCATAAAATAAACTGCTCTTTACGCCTGGAAAAATCAGTTGCCCACCATTCACCAAAACATACGGTCAAAAACGCGGAAATAAACAATAACAGCAATCCAGAGTGTCCGTGTGGCATTAGCATTAATTAAATTAATTGTTAATATAATTAAAATAATTAAATGGAGCTCCAACTGGTATTAAATCTAAAGTTTTTGAGAAATGTTTGCATTGCTTGTTAATTTTTGCTGCATAATTTGATCAAATATGTAAAACATGTCCGTAGCACGTTAAACTGTGGTGCCATTGTATTAATATACAATTATTTGCTCAAAAGTTGCCCTTTTTTCCAATTTGCGTTTGAATATCTACATTTATTCTCATTCTTCTGTTTAATGGAATGCACAAACACAGCAGCGTGCCATCAAAGATGGCGTCTCCGAGGAGGTCATGTGACATTCATTGGTCTGTGGGAACTATGTATAGAACAGAATTTGATTCGTAGATTTTCGCTTGTCACTTTAAGGTCAAAACAGATTGTAATTTAATTTGATAGAAAAAAACTTTACTCAGAGGAAATGTAGTTTCAATTTCATACTGCTGCTCTCTAGCGTGTGTCTTACTTTTAAATATTTTTTTATTCAAATAATAATAATAATAAATTAAATTAAATTAAACGAAATGTTTATATATATATATATATTAGTTAGGGCTGGGACTCGATTAAAAAAATTAATCTAATTAGATGCTTTGTGTTTAATTAATCGCAATTAATCGCATTTTAATCACATATAAATATTTGTCCTGAGAACAGTAATACGTAATTTTTTTTCACATGGATTTTTAGTTTACCATTGAATAATGACTGAATACATAAGCTTAAAGGCGCTATACCCGTTTCTGCAATGTTTGAATGTTTAGCACCGCCCCCCAACTCACTCAATGGCTTCTTATTTCCCCTACGCTCTCATAACACAGAGCCACCTAGTTTTATTTGCGATCTGATAAATATGCTAACATTAGCATTAGCGCAACTTCTTGTAAGCTGTGCAACAATCACCGATGAAATGGCACTAAAGCAACGCACTGCTAACACAATATATAAGTAAAAGAATACCGCTAGTTTTGCGTCCGAATGTATTAATTTAAAACCTTAGAATATATTCTAATATTGAATTATAATTTGTTATAGAGCTCCTCAAAGCAGCAGCAGCAATTCTTCCGATAATTTTTTCTTGATAACAGAACTCTCAAACCAATAATGACCGAAGCCCCAATGCAATCTCTGTTTGTAATTCAGGTGTGTAAAATACTGCCATTACTCCGCAAGTACAACAAGCTATCAGCACCTGTCACTATCACTCGTCTGTGTAGAGAAGCCAACGGAGCTAGCGGAGCTAGCCACGCTCAATAAACAACTACATATCTATCAATCAACACCATTAAACGTCAATCGGACAATACAGTACACATATACATCCTTAACACACATGCACGGATGATTTCAGAATTTGCTGTTAACGTTTTCATAACAAAAATACTGTTTCAAAGTGACAAAAAGCGATTGCGAAAAACCCGGAAGTTACCATGAAACAACTAGCTAGCTTAGCTGTTACCTGCCTAGCACGTCCCGGTGAAACCTTTGGGAGCTAACTCTTTTATTTGCAGTCATTAAATACATTTCGAATTACAAGGGTTGTCTAATATTTGTTCACATTTTTTTATTCAATTATTTTGTTCATCATTTTTTATTTTAGAATTTATATTCGAATTTTGAAGTCGAAGCCCTGGTGTTAAGCAGCGCTGTAGACACTAGAGGACGCAGGCTGCTCGCTGCTCGTTCTGTGAGCGGAGGAGAAAGAGCGGCCCGCTCAGACTCTACTCAGCACTTTTCACTGCTTGTAATTCTTACACAGCTGAATCAATTACCTCAAGTTTTCAATTAAATGATGTATTATGATACAACTTGTATGTAGTAAAAAGCATTTTTATGAACTACTTAGAAAAAAAATCGGGTATAGCTTCTTTAAGAAACACATGTTCATTGAGGATGAGAAGGGGAGCAGACGGACTTCTTTCCATCAAATAACTTATCTGTTTTGGACTCCTGTTAGTGCCCAGAGTCAGAACTAAACATGGGGAGGCTGATTTTCAGATTCATGCTGCTAAAATCTGGAACAATCTTCCTGAAGATGTGAGACAGGCCTCCTCTCTGACAATGTTTAAAACCAAGTTAAAAACGGTGCTGTTTAGCTGTGCATACAACTGAGGGATTTTATATTTTTATCTTTCGTTTTAATGTTCTGTGATTATTTATGATTTTAATGCTTTCTTGTTCAGCACTTTGAGTTGCCTTGTGTATGAATTGTGCTATACAAATAAACTTGCCTTGCCTTGCCTTGCCTTGTTATCGCCTCCACACTATGCTCTCTGACAACAACATACGCTCTGTATAACCAAAATCCACTGCACTGAGCACTAGGGCTTTGACTTCGAAATCCGACAGTCAAATATAATTCGAATATTAAAAGAAATATAATTATTTGAACGAATATTAGACAGCCCTTAATATTCGAAATGTATTTTTTTAAACGCACTAATTTTTGTGGCGTCAATTAATCGTAATTAACGCGTTAAAGTCCCGGCCCTAATATATATACATATAAATTAGTACTAATATATATACATATATATATTAGGCCCTAATATATATATACATATATATATAATATATATATATACATATATATATATATATATATATATATATATATATATATATAAAATGTATATATTTTTGAACTAAACATTAAATTAAACATGCCCAATAATACATTGTCTAATGGCAACATAGGCAGCAACTATACACACAAATAATCAAACAAATAATCAAAATGTCCTGGAATCTATATATATCAAAATAAATGGACATGCAAATCAGATGAATTAAGCTTGACTCCCCCAAGTGCATGTACCCACACATCAAACTCACAAGCTCCAGAAACCTCAAAGTGCTTGGTCGTAATGAGGAGGGTGATTGATCCCATGCTATTCCATGTCAAAGTGATATACTCCTCCGGGTGGACATCACGCCCCGTCAGGTGCTCCGTGATGGTGACTGGGGTCTATTGACGAAACACGGCCCCTCCTCCTGCTTCTGATGGACTATATATATGGATGCGAGCGGACAGAGGTCTTGAGCATAAGATTGTTTGCGTTGTTCAGAGAGCACTCCAATAGACTGATTATCATGGATGCAACAGTCAACTACTGTGTGGGTCTCCTTTGTCTTCTGCTGCTGCAAGGAGCGCTGCATGTGGAAGGTCGGAGCATCCTCAACTCTGGTAAGTCCTGCACACATCCATTTAGTGTTTAAGGCTTTTGAAGTAATATGTATATTTTGTTTTGCAGAAAGTGGTTATTTCAACACAAATGAGGACATAGATGTTCAGAACAAAATTATAGCCCTTTTATGGCACAAAAGCATATCCTCTGTTGAAAAGGAAGACCCTCTTGGTGAGATCTAATTTAATATCTTCATAAAAATAAGAGTTGCATTCTTACTGTTCCTTCAATTTCAGCTGCTATAGTGAAAAACACACTGGCTGAACTGGAAAAGGTCAGTTGTGTTTGAAAGCAAATTAATTTTATGTGATTTAATTAGAACTGACTTTCTTTAACAACCCTTTCAGCTGCGTTCCCTTAAAAGTGACCCAGAAGACAGAGAGGTCATGATCAAACTGGCTCAAGAGAGACCCATGACAAAAAAGAGGGCTGAACGTAAGTTTGAATGCTTTCCTTATAATGTCCCAGATTCAACTAAAGTCATTGTGGATCAATAACAGCTGGTTACTGGTTTGTTTGTATGTTTTCAGCTTGTTTCTGGAAGTACTGTGTGTGAGACTGATGAATGGAACGATGGGGGGTTGTCCGCTCCAGAGCACAAAAGCCTTAGAGACCACAACACCTGTATTTATTTCAGCAATATAAAATGTACCATATCAATGTAAAGCTCCAAATGTAAAATTGAACTTGTAAATAATTCATTATTGAAGCTTTTCAAATATGTTTGGTTTGTGTTGCTGCATTGCAGCCACTCTTTGAGTACACAATCTTTGTATTCCTGGTAACTTGAACAAAGTAAACGGTAAGTTCTCTTGATATTGTTCCTCTTTTGTTGTATCAGTGCGTCGTTTTAAAGTGTTTACGGTTCATATTGGTTCAGTCATGACGAATCTCATATCTAGTCTGTTGTTGTTAAACCCCAACTTTAATAAATACATTTTGGATGTGAAAAAACGCATTTGCATTTACTGTATCCACAGCGGCTATTCTAGGCTGGTCCAAAAAGAAATACTCCCCACAGCATTGACACGCATCAGGAGTGTTGCGTTGGTCCAAGAGCTGAGTTTTGGACCATCATGTAAATCTGCTTTTGAGAGGAAAGAAGGCGGCATACAAAAGTATTGGGTATATATTCTCTTACCGTATCTATTCTCTTACCGGATACACCCCCACCCGATAGAAGTGAGATTGAAAACATGCCCCCACTCCACAATAACAGGTTATAGCTGCGGTACTATAGGAACAGGAGAGTGCCATCCCTGTTTTACACTTCAATTAAGTCTTGACACTGTATGTCCTGCAGTGAGCAGCCAAGACATGTACCCTAATGTAATATATGACAGGAACAAAACACCAAAAATAATACACAAGCCACAGGACAGGTTTGAGTCTTAACTGTCTGCAAATGGAACGGTAGAGAGAGTCATTTCAAATATTTCATTTTAGATACATAATGTGTTTTTATTATAAGAGAGTAAACTGTAGATAAATGCGATAATTAAATGAAAGCAGGTAATTTACTGCTTTACTCACTTACTTTGTGGCTGCTCACTTACATCGAGCTTCGTAGTATTGTGAACTAAATTACCATTTGAAATTAGTTATTGAAAAATAATGTCATGGACTTCATATTAGCCAGGCGTTATAAGGAAAACAACTTTGAGGATTATCAGCAGGAAATGAGCCAGCAGCCAGTATCTCTTGTTGCAGGCAGCTGTTAACTATTATTCAACCTTAATATAAGTTTAATGAAACTGTTAAGGATAGAATTTCATGTTTCTCATCTATTTGGTACTCATAAAATGTTGGTTTAAAAGGGAAAAACATTCTTTCTAATCAACAATATTGAAAAGTGAAAACACAGAGGGCACATCACGTCACAGCTCTAGCTCAAATGTGGCAGTGGGTGGAGTTTTTGTATGTGGTCGCTGTTATAAATTAGAGAGGAGAGTTCATTTGGGGAGCCTTCACCAGTGGGATAACAGTTAAAACCATGATGGATTGCAGTGCAAATGGTGAGATATGCATTATTTTAAATATATATCTATAAAAAAAGAGCACTAAGTTGAGTGACAGAAGGTTATGGTGATGAAAAAAAAATGTTTTGAATGTATTTTTAAAATAAGGATTGTTTGTTTGTATGAATACACAAATGTTTGCACACGTTAGGAAAAACAAACAAAAAATTCAATTCCAGTTACACTCAAAAGGGAGAAGGAAGAAAAAAAAAGTGGGTCCCTACCCCTCATACGGTTTCATAATTTATGTGGAAACAAAGAACATACAAACAAAAAATGTATAAACAATTAAATGCATTATTTTTATTTTGTATGTATTATTTCTCTTTGTTCTATAACAGGAAAATCATCTCTTATTTTTCACAATATTTCTCAATTATTAAGTTTTGCTAAAGGATACAGCTTTGTTTTAAATCCCTTGTCAGACTAATTCATAGCTAGACACCACTGACAAAAATAACACTTTTCATAGATGCTTCTATTTTAGTTTTATGATCATTATACACGTTTCCCGTCTCTTTCTTAGAAAAAGGCTTGAATGTGACTTGGGAAGTAATCTTGTTGCTTGCCTTGTAGAGAACTTTTGCTGTTTTAAATTTGATCAGAGAATCTGTGAATTTGAGCGTTCTGATGGAAACCATAGACTGCAGTCGAGACAGACGGACAACGCTAACCTGCTAGCTCAATGAAGCCTGATACAAAAGTGCCCAATGACGAATTTTCTCGCTTCTTTTCACTTACACTGAAAGATAAAGTTCTCTAGCTCTCAGCCATTCAACTCTATGCCCTGGATCAAACGCTTTATCAACTTTAATCATGTTATAATGTACGTTCTTTCTCTTGTTGTTTTGCCCACACAGTGATATTGTGGACTGCTCTTCTTCTTTCTTCACACTCAAACGTCTCCAGTGAAACTGAAACGGTCTACCCACCCGACTGCAGGCCCATATATTCTGGTGCGGTGTTGTGTGTTGGTGACTCTGTCACTGACATACCTTCAGGAATGCCCCTCCACACCTACCTCCTGCGTTTAAATGGCACCAAAATGCACGTGATCAAAGAACGAAGCCTCGCCAACCTGGATCTGCTGCTGCGTTTCAGTCTGACACACAGCCACCTGCACACCATCCACCCCGCAGCCTTCAGAGTGGCCCAACACTTCAAGTCTGTGAAACTCTCCAACAATGACCTGTCCACGATCCCTGCACAAGTCTTTTCGCCGCTGTCAGTTCTAGAACAACTCCACTTGGACGGGAACCAGTTGGAAAACATTGCACCACAAATGTTCGAAGGACTTGTCGGGCTGAAAGATCTTGATTTGAACCGCAATAAATTGTCAAATCTCACATCTGATCTTTTTGATGGACTGACAAATCTGACATTTTTGAATCTCGGAAAAAACTACATTAAAAAATTGCCCCCGACTATATTTCATTCTTTGATTCAACTGCAACAGCTAATACTTTACTACAATGAACTTGAGGTTCTTGAGCCTCGGATGTTTGATACGCTTGTCCAACTTGAGACACTCAAAATTAATAACAATAAGATAAGCAGCCTTCCACCAAAGATTTTTTGGTCATTGATAAACTTGACAAATCTAACTTTATCTTCTAATCAACTAGAGGCTGTCCCAGATGAGAGCTTCTACTACATGCCTAAACTAATCCAGCTAACCCTCTACAAAAATCCTCTTCTATCTTTACCCGAGAAACTGATGGGCTACATGCCCGAGATGAAAAGTTTTTATTTGTATGCAACCAATCTTTCAACTGTTCCTGGCAATCTATTCGCCAATATAACTGGTCTACAAGCTCTCAACCTTCACTTCAACCACTACTTCAAGGACCTCCCTTCTGACCTCTTCTGTTGTCTCCCAAATCTGATCAAATTATCTCTAAAAGAAAACATAATTAAGGACCTACCACCAAGTATTTTCTCCAATTTGACCAGTCTTAAAATGATTCATCTCAACGGTAACAACCTAGTTAACATTCCTAGTAACATATTTCATGGACTGCCTACGTTATCCATCATAGATCTAAAGCAAAACGACTTAGAGACAATGCCAGGCGACTCTTTCATATCAAACCAAGCTCTAAGAATGGTTACCTTGGGTGATAATCCCTGGGACTGCACGTGTGACATAAGAGGCATTGCAATTTGGATCAAACTAAATTATCATTTAGTTGTAGACAACAAGGATGTAATTTGTCATAGCCCAACCTACCAACTCCATCGTCCTCTAAGGTCTCTTGAAGATGAAGACTTTCACTTTTGTGACTTAACAACAGCTCAAAGTTGGGGGAAGGACCCTTTTCTCAGTAGTATCGCACCAATTACAAGCACAACAGCAACAAGTTCTCCAAAGGCCCAAGATACAACCCCATACATGACATCTGCTGCTGCTACCAGTACAACCACCAATCCTCCCTCTACTACTATTTCTTCTACTACTACTACTACTACTACTACGCTAACGGCATTGAAAACTACAGTGCCAGATGTCTCCTATGGATCGCCTCCTTTTTATGGAAAACTGGTTCTGGAGCAGGGCCCAGTGTATGTTCACCACAATTCTCTGAAGAGATGGGTCTATGTTTGGTTTGTGCCGTCTGGTTCTGCTGTCTCTGGCTTTCTCCTGTCTCTTCACATCCTCCTTGTGGCCACTGCTTTCTTTCTTATCATCTCTGCCTTATATGGTATGCACCGCCTCACTGAGATAATGGAGAAACTGAACAGTGAAGCTCTTTGTTTGTGAGAGGGAGATGTTTATGTGAATCTCATCTATATATTTTCATGAGTTGTTTACTTGTTATCGCGTATAAGTGTTTATGAATAAACATATTTCCACACAAATTGAATTTATTTACCTCCAAACAGAAAGGACGGAAGGGAACTTAACTTACTGTACATCATCAATTGTTCAGAAAAAACACACATTTGTAACTTTTACATAAATAATGCTTAAAGGGTACATAGAGAGATACTTTATTGATCCCCCGTAGGAGAAATTCAGGTGTCCAGTAGCAGCAAAAATGAAAATCCATCCATCCATCCATTTTCTTCCCCTTAATCCATTTCTGGGTCGGGGGGGTGGCAGTCAGAGCTGCACCCAGTACACATAGCACCAGCCCCTCACTGATTCTCCTGCAGGTGGTGAGTCCACAGGAGCTGAGATCTTTCAGTTGGAGCTTTGGGCAAAGTGGGGTTAAGTGTCTTGCCCAAGGACACAACAACAGCAGTCATCAGTGGGAGTCGTGAAGTAGGTCTTACGGTGGGCTCGAACCCACGACCTTCAGGCCCAAAGGCCAATGGTCTACCAACTTTTCACCAAAAATGAAAATAAAATTGATAATTCTAAAAACATAATAATAGTAACATGACAGGGTTTTTAATTATTTTCTAATATTGTCATTTCTGGTGGTATAATACGTGGCGTTATATTAAAGTATAGTGTTTAATCAATCAGGAAATGCTTTGTGAAAAAAAACTATTAATTCATTTTGGATATAACAGAAAATAAATTGTCATTCTAGTCCATCATTTAATAACTCATGTGTTGTGAAAATGAGCAGCAAAATACGAGATGTATTGTTTAAATATTATGTTAATGCACAATGTCCCTGTCAACTAAACAAATAAAATGAATAAATTAATTGCGACTTTTAAATTTCCAAATTATAGTTTCCCATTAAGCCCCTTTTTTTCTCAAGTCTCAAGTGTCTCCTTGGCCATCTGTGACATGTTAGAGCCATATAAACCTATTCAGACTCTGAGGAACACACGTGCTGGCCCCCTGCTGGTGCACAGAGAAACAAACCTTTTTCGCTGCTACAACTGAAGGATTTTTTAAAGAACTGTTATTATATATGATAATATATAGTTATAAGACTCTTTATTATGGAAAAACAAAAAAACTGTTTTAACAGTGAACTACAAAATCTAGTTTGGGCGTAAATTAACTTACTATACTAAAGAGCACATTTAATGACACTTCCATAGTTACAAAAGATACACAGACACCAACAGCCATACATTACATACAGAGACCAGGGTGGGGAGCACCAGCCCCAGAAGGCCTCCTCTGAGTTAGCATCTAATACATGCAGATCAGATCATGGGTCTCAACAGTCAGAGACGTCACAACAAATATCAGCTGTAATGTCACATGCATGTCACACTAGATTGTTCAGACAGGAGAGTCAGCCGGGACACAGTGGTGGTACCATAGACTGTACCCATGGAGAGGGACAATATAACAGGAAACTCTTTGAAGTACATCTGCAAAAGGCATGGAGACCACATACATAACACAATAAACTTGGTCAGATCAATAATGAATCAGAATGAGTAGAGTGCCTGAGTAGAAGTGAAAGTGCAGAGTGTTAGTTCTGCAAATGTTTTGCTGACGTCATCTTCCTGCCGCTCCCTTTGGGAACTACAGTCGCACATTTGTGGTATCTGTTTTTGATTGAGGACATGAGGTCACTTGGCTTTTAGACCTTTAACTTACTGTAAGTTTCTCCAAATATTTAATCTGAATTCCACTGCCTCGTTGGTGATAAACAACGGAAACTCCAAGACATTGTAGATAATCGTTCACAAAAACAAAACAAAGCATTGTAATCACAGAGTGATCTCACAGGACAACAGCCAAAACAATGTCCGGTGACAAATTGTGAGTCACTTCATAAGTTCAGGCACTTATTGTTCTCATTTACGTTGTATTCCCTTTTTCTCCTTGAAAACAAGATTGTACTCAAGGAAAAAAGGGAGTCGTTTCCTGATTCAAGGTCTGCCCCAATGTTAAAGCTTTCACACAAAGCTTTCTGCTCCTGATGGGTCCCCAGGCGCTGAACTGCAGCGACCACTGTTCCTGACAGAGCCCGAGCGGCATCGGAGAATGAGTCAAGGAAAGTCAAGGAAAACTGTACTCAGGGGGAGAAATAACGAACAACTTAACGTAACTTAAACCATACTGTGAAAATGTTTCACTCATTATTTGAGTGTCCAACAAAGTAATGCAGACACCAACTCATTATTATCATGTGATGATGTGTCATGTGTCATGGTTTGGATTAATTTCCTGTATTATTTTGTAGTTTGTTAAATCCCTGTGTCTTCTTTGGTTGTACTTCCTGTTTGATGACCTGCCCTGCCCTCATGTGTATCACCTGTTTCTCGTTAGTCTTGTGTTTAGCCCTGTGTGTTCCTTCACTCCCTGTTTGTCTTTGTCATCCCTCGTCTGTTTTAGTTCTGTCCTTGGTCCCAGTGTTTTTTGCTAGATCTTGTTTTGTAATACTTTTTATTCAATCCATTATTGTGCAGTTTTGCATTTTGGGTCTCATTTGATTTGACCCTCGTGACATAATGTGCTCTGAAAAGTTAACAATTTCTGTTCTCTTTTTCTCAATTGATTTAAAAGAACATAAAATGGATTTGTGTAATTTAAATGGTTGGGTCCTGCTTGTTGCCAAAGACATTTTATTTTATTTTCTTGGTATCAAAGTGTGAACTAGTTGAACATAATCAATTACAGGTATTTTTACTGCCCAAAAACCAGAACCTTCCACAGGGGTCAAGTGGAAACAGAATATGTACGTGAAAAAAATTGGGTTCTATTTAGTTTTCTCATGAATTTATTTTGTTTGGATCAGCTTTTTCAAGGAGAAAAGTGAACAAGAGAGGACCCTCACTCGGCCAATCAGCTTCCACCCCAAAGCATCAAAGAATGACTCACAGGGCTCTTTCTTACAAGAATGTAAAGGATAAAAGGTTTTCTTATAAGATAATGACAGCATGTTGTCATCTCATTTGCATTTCCTCACTCTTGCAAGACTGTTTCTGTCGGGTCAAACCAAATGTAAGGGAAAAAGTTAGGCTTTAACATAAGCAACTTTTTTCATTGTGTGATTTATTCATCAAGCCTTGTTCTATGAGGCACATTCCAAAGACCTTCCATACAGCTGCTGTCTATCATAAAAATACTTGAAAGCAAAACAAATATTGAGAAAATAGTGCAAAGTTGTGGATATGGGCCGCCCGTGAAGAGTGCTCAGACTTTAAACAAACAGTGAACAAAAGAGGAGCATGAACTAGTGAATGGCACCCAAGTTGGTTACCATAGAAACCCGTGATTAGTCCTTTCCAGTACACTGAACTCACACAAGAGCCTAATAACAAACACATGCACAGGAAATCATACACAGCATCATAACCATAACTGCTCATTGAACGTACATCTGATTTGAGCTTTCGCCTATGCATCCAAATATTTATGCATGTTTATTGTGATTCTTGGCCCTATAAAAAGACAAAGTATGCCGCTAACACCTCCCTTCTGACAGTTAGCTCCACCCTCACTATCTGGAGCCTGCGGTGAGCTGAGAGCGTGGTTCCATAGCCTTGCAAAAAGCTGTTGTCTTGTGTTATCTATGACGTAGATTGTGCTGCTACAGTATATCTATGGTGTGATATACTGTAGCAGCTGCACAAACCAGGACTTTACAACAGTAGTACAGTATGTGTGGATATTGTTCAGTAACTTTCAGAAAACTTCTAAATGGTTTTGTTTTCTTTTATGTGGTTGGTTTCGGATGCCTTCATGCCCACAAGTCATTTATCTTCCAACAGAAAAGAAAAGCAAAGCCTGGACCCAAGGCTCCCCAGCCATGCAGCCTCCATCCCCCACAAGGAAAACAAAATCTTTAAAAATTATCCAAGAAAGAAAGTGAATGTGTTCTTTAAGTGAGTTGTTTTTCATTATTGATTTTAATACATTAGGAATGATTTGGCTGAGGCAAACAATTTAGATCAAGACCAAAATTCCCTTCTGTCACTGTCAGACATTAACATTGTTTTTTCCCAACATTCAGTGAAGAAATCCAACTCAAATCAAATCCAAATTTTTGCCTAATTGAATTAAATTGAATTGAATAAACCGTAACCAAACCATAAAACATATTCTAGATACATGCATATCTCGTGCTTTGCTCTCAAAACTATTTGGTTCTTTCAAGTTTTCACTTAGACTTAAAAGACTCCCATCCGGAAGCATGACAAAGGCTTCCTCATAAGATAAAGACAAAATGTTGAGGTCTGATTTGTTTACAACATTTCACTTTTATAAGTAAACTCTTTCTGTTGAGACAAACAACATGTTCAGTGTAACTTAACTTATTCATTCATGAGAAATGTCAGCTTTAATAAACCTCTCTGCCTGATTTCAATAACAATAACTTTCAAATGCAAAATCTAAGCATCCGGAGATTCCACAGAGCAGTATGCCAGTGGGTGGGGCTCCGCAGACCCTCACTCAGTCATTGTGAAACATTGTGCATTCCCGCGGAGCAAAAGAGGAGGCACACAGGAAAGTGAGCAGTGCCTGAACTTTAAACTTGCTGATTTAATGGGAAAAGGGCAAAAACATAGTTTCATGAGGGAAGTAGAATGAACCAATGCAGGAAAAGGTGATGAGGGGTGTTTTGGACATTAGTGGCAGCTTGTCTTTCCATTGGAGCGGGACACAAAAGAGGTCATAAATACAGCTACTGAAAGGGCTCAAAAAGCAAGGTAAGATTTTCACCTTTTCTATATTCTAGAATTTATTTTTGTGTCAGCTTGAAATAATTATAATGTATTTTATTATGATCTATCTATTATTAATAATTTTTCCAGTCATCTTTAGGGGTTGTGTGAAGGCATAATCACAAATGTCCAGTTCATGCAAGGCAGCCCAGGAATGTACAAGAACTGGAGGCTTTTGTCCTTTAGAGAGGATAAAGAACCTCAACCACAACAACCACAAGATTCCAAGATGTCATATGTTAAAGGGATTATGCTGTTGAGAACTGGGTGGTGGAAACTTCTAATCAGGGTCAGAAAGTTCATGTTGTCTTATAATTATAAAATAGGAAGACATTTTTTTTGACACTAAATGGATTCACACAACCATTAATAATGTGTGATGAAAATATGTTATAAAAACTGTTCTGCCAGGGCGTGCACACTTTCAGGCACAACTGCACATTATACAGACTCATAAGACTCCTTTTAGGATCAAAATGAGCTAATACTGTTACATGCTTGTTGTTGTGTGTTGATTTATGTGCACAGTATGGGCCTGTGTAAGCAAGGTGAACATTAACATTTCATTCATGTCCCTTGAACACGTGCGTTTCATCAAGATTATGTAACAGAATTAAGTCAAACCTTATGGTCAGCTCGCAAACCATTTCATTCGTTAAGGCAAGGGACGATAAAGAGCTAGATCTGTGGACTTAACACTCTAAACGTCAAAAATAATGGATTCAATAAAGCATCCCATAGAAAAGAAGAAAGCATTGGTAAACTAGGAAAGCAAGAGTAGAGTGCCAACCTCCACGTAGAGACGCAGTTCCATTCTTTAAAAAAAGAATCCTGCATCTTGATGTGATTCAGATAACAAACACAAACTCACCGCCCACTTTGTTCACTGGAACTTTCCTGAAACGTTCGTCCAAATCCTCCCTTCAACTGTATGAGTTATGTTGCTCACAGGCAATGGATAAACAAACGCTGGTGATCACTTTACCTCCTGGGCGGAAGTGATTAAAACATGTACTACGCAGATTTCATGAGATTTGGACGTTTTTTGTTACATTTAGGTTGAAAGATTTAGGCAAAAAAAAAGAAAATATCCCAATTAATTTATATTTAAAAACTGAGGTACTTCATATTTTTTCTGATAAATAATACATGTTGTTTTCCCCAACAGGAAAAGTCTTGAAAAATTAAGTTGTGACCCAATCAGACCAAATCATGCTGGGTTCAGCTGATTAGCTGAGTTAGGTAGAAAAGTTGTGTAAAAGAATCATTAGCAGTACATTAAAGGAAAGAAAGGGGAATACAAAAAACAAATCCAAACTTTTGTAAATAATGAAGGCTGTTTGCGTACAGACACTGAGCGAACGTACTCCCTGCATCTTAAATGTGCTGATCTGCTGCCATGAGCTGCTTGTGCCAGGCCCGTGTTTGTAGAGAGAGAGTCTCTATTGGCACAACTTTGTCATGCAAAGCTGTAACAAACAAAAATTGTGAAGAACCAGGAAGTACGACCACATTAGTCCGGTCCTCAGGTCTCTGCACTGGCTTCCTGTGGCTCAGAGAATAGATTTTAAAGTAGCTTTACTTGTGTACAAGTCTCTCCATGGCCTCGCACCAGGGTACATCCGCGACATGTTGGTGCCATATGAACCAACTCGGGCTCTGAGGAGCACAGGGACTGGACTTCTGTTAGTGCCAAGAGTCGGAACTAGACATGGGGAGGCTGCGTTTCAGATTCATGCAGCTAGAGTCTGGAACCGTCTTTCCGAGAGTGTGAGACAGGCGTCTACTCTAGCAGTTTTTAAAACTGAACTGAAAACAGTTCTTTTTAGCTGTGCATACAAGTGAATGATTTTATATTTGTTTTTATCTTTAATCTTTTTAATGCACTATGATTATTTATGATTATTTATGATTGTAATCCCTTGTGTGATTTTAATGTTTTACGGTTTTTAACTACTTGTGTGATTTTATATATCTTGTGCTCTTAATCTGTCCTTTTATGTTTACTTAAATTCTAATGTTTGATGATTTATGCATGATGTTATATGGGTTGTGAGGCGCTTTGCGTTGCCTTGTGTAGGAAAGGCGCTCTATAAATAAACGTTGATTGATTGATTGACCAATTGTCAGTGATTTTTACACTGTGCAGAAAAATCACTGAATCTAGTTTTTTCTGCTTGTTTTTGTGTCATTTTTTATTCAGAAAATGTAAGATAATATGATATTTTGAGATTATTTTGCCCTTTTCTTTGCTCTTAAAGTTTCATATTGGCAATTTATTAATGGGTGTATGCATACTTACTATAACAACTATAAATACTTTACTTATTATAATGAATCAACCTTATTATTGATTAGTACGTATATCTATTTATTCTTAAATTGTCTTTTGTATTAGTTTTTACAATGTGTTTTTAAATTGGTTTTAAATGTTACCAATGTGAAGCACTTTGGGTTGCATTCTGTATGAACTGTAGTTGATTGATTGATTGAAAGTACTCAACCTAAAACAACAACAAAGTAAAAAAAAAAAAAGAACGTCCTATAGATAGTTTAAAATTGTGGTGGAGGGCAGTTAAAAAAATGTTCCCAGTAAAATGGCAACATTGTGAGAGTAATAAGTTACGCTCAGAAAGTTCCACATTAACTGGTTATTTATTTTTTCTTAGAGGTGTTGAAGTAATGACAATATTAAAAAACATGGATACAAGAAACAAGAATTTATTTTCCGTTTGCAGTAAAACCACATTGGAAAAACTGTGCAAGACTGAGCATAGACATGTTATCAAAAATATTCTTGGATATAAAATACAGCTTCTTTCCCATATAGTTGTATATATTGGTACGTTCCCTACAACTAAAACTGAATTCTACCACATGAATGCAACCATTTCAAAACATGGCACATGGAGTTATGTGGCTCAAAACTATTTAAGACCATTAAAATATAGCGCAGCTGTGTAAGTCTAACTATACCACTTCTATTTCAGGAGCAGAATGGGCCTGGTTTTACACGTGATCCTGCTTGGCTGCTGGATCAGGGCTGTCGGAGCGTGTCCAGAGGGCTGCAATTGTCAAACGAATCAACTAATATGCAGTGGAATCAGCACTTTCCCCAAAAACATACCCTCTTCCACCACCACTATCTACATGTCAAACTGCAACTTTAATTCTGTCAAACAAGATGTCTCCGGCGAGCTCCTAGAATTTATTATCACATCTACTCCGTTGACAGACCTGCAGCCCCATACATTTGACCATGCAGTAAATATGACTCTTTTTGTCATTACTGAAACTCAACTACAAGATCTCCCTGATGGCCTTTTCCAAAGTAATACAAAACTTACGAAACTCAGTCTAAAACAAAACAAACTTACTGCAATTCGCTCAAACTGGTTTAAATCCTTGGTCAATGTCACTTATCTCGAACTGAGTAGAAATCTGATCACTTCTATTGCTGCAGATGCCTTCCACACCATGAGAAGTTTAGAGTATCTTACACTCGCAGGAAATAATATTGCTGAGATTCCAAGTGAAACATTCAAGGGTCTGTCCAAATTGACCACTTTGCGTCTGCACAGAAATTCAATAAAGGAAATCCCTCCTGGTTGTTTTGAGGACCTTGAAAACTTGAAGGATCTGTCTCTACAAGATAACTCCATCACCCATCTCCACAGGGACACCTTCGCAAAACTTCCTGCTCTGGAAAAATTGTTTCTATCCAACAACCTAATTGCATCTCTTCCAGAAGGGATATTCTTAAATTTGCCAAGGCTTTCGCAGATTTCTTTGTACGAAAACCAGCTCGAGAGTCTTGCTCCTGGAGTGTTTGGTCCAGTGCTGCTAAAAGAATTATGGCTGTATGACAATAAAATAAGCCGTTTGGACGATTACACATTCAGAAATCTCACTCATCTTAGTCTCTTGGTCATCAGTCGCAATCGGATCCGCCATGTTTCTGCTAATGCCTTCCAGGGTTTGGAGAAACTTGGAGAGGTGTCCTTGCATACCAATCTCCTGACAACTTTACACGATGGGACATTCCAAGGTCTTCCAGAACTGGTCAACATTTCATTAGAGCACAATTTTATCAATAATCTCCCAAATGGGTTTCTTCAAGGTGTGAGGCACCTAGGGCAGATAGACCTTCGAAATAACTCTTTTGAAAACCTCCCACAGCATACCTTGGATTCCTTCTCCATTGTTGATGAAATTCTCCTTCACCCCAATCCTTGGAAGTGTGACACGAATATAGCGGATTTTAGAAACTGGCTTCAACAGAATCCATCCAAAACCAACCAAACGCTTCTTGTGTGTGACATGCCAACAAATCTAGAAGGTGAGATGATTGTTTTTCTGACAGATGAAAACTTGATGTTGAGTTCCACTGGACAGCCCAAAGCCACAACAACACTAAAGACAGGCAACACACAAACTCCCTCAATCAGAAAAAGCACTTCCTTACCAGCAGTCAAAACAACCACCTCAAAAATGGTGGAACTGACAAGTGCTAGTGGGCGAGAGGAAGGAGAACCAGCGACAAAGAACACCTCGCTGATCCTGATTGTGATAGCAGTCGTAACTGTTGTGATTGTCAGCATAATCCTCGTCAGTTGTGTGAGCTGGAGGAGGAACAAAACTGGCAGAGGAGACATTGGACAGAGAAATAAAAACTCTGTGCTCTGAGAAAGTGCAACAATATAACTATTCACAGTGACAGGCCCAGAACAAAAATATTGGATATATTACAAGAAACTGTTTTCATACTTTACTTTGCAAAGTAAAGATGCACTGTGCATAACTTCTCTGGAATTCACAGAGTGGTTTTAAACCATGTCCATGGAAAAAGCAGACCTCATCAGATAAAGCTACTGCTGTCCGCTAACTGCAATAGCTGATAGAAGATACAATTAGTATAATGCCATCTATTCCAGGAAAAGGAACACCATCGCACAGAGAACAGCAAATGGTGGATCCCACTCCCAGTCCCCACCATCAGCAAAGTTTTGTTAATTGCATCTTTAGAATGTGAAGTTTTTCTTTTTTTGGTAATTTAATTACTTAAGACTAACTTTTGCATTACTTGGTCATAATCATGAAACTAATGAACATTGTTTTAATGTATGCTTATACACTGACTAAATAAATTGGATACTAAGAAAAGTACATTCTATGAAATACCTGATCTTTTGCACAAAACGTTTTAGAAGGACAAACAGGTCTGCTCTTTGCAGACTTATGATGTAGGTTAGGGTTTTATTATAATAAGATATGTTCTATATATATCTCTCTCACCAATTTCCACAATGTTTGATTGATATTATTATGGTTAATACGGGAAAAATATGAGAAACGAGATGTGAGAAAAAAATGGAATAACATTACCTGTTGACAATGTCTTCCATAAATGAGGAATGTAATCACCACTTGCACCAAAAGATGGCGCCACCCAAACTCTTTTGCCTACGCCATACTCTTACCCCCTTCCTTTTTTCTATTTCACATTATACACTGAATATCTTGATGATGATGAGGGAGTTGTTGGTTATTTTTTGTGTTCCTCTTGTTTTTAGTTTGTCTTCAAATAAATTCAATAATCAGAAATGTGACTTTGTGGTGTGTTTCCATAAGACTCATTAGCATCCATATTCAGAGGGCTTTTGCACCTCTTATCTCACAGTGCAGTTGTGGGGCGCCACGCCCCATACAAAAACGCCTCTCGCCATCAGCCCACTGTCCCAATTTGATATGAAAGATAACCACTGCAGCAGTAACTCTAACAACTGCACAACGTTTGTAGTCCAAGCAGATCAGGTAAGCGATCATTGTTCAATCAATTCTTATCATGCTGTCGGTTTAACTATCCCATTTGCTTAGGTATACCAATGGGAGGCTATTCTATTGTGGTACTTTTTGTTCTGTTTGAGTCATCATTTCTACAAAACCCACCCAAATGTGAGAAAGAAACTGACTGTCCAAAAGAAAACCAAGTTGTTTTTGGAAAATCTACCACTGAAATCCCACACACACTAAAACCTGGAGCCACTGAGGTCTTCTTTGTGGACTGTAACATTATATCCATTCCAAAGGGTGCGTTTGTTGAAAATCCTCAACTGGAAAAAGTGGAATTTATGAATACCAACATAGAGTCTGTGGAACCGGGAGCTTTTGAAGGTCTGGTTAATGTCAACAATCTTGAAATCTCCAATAGTCCGTTGACATCAATATCAGTTGGCGTTTTCAGTGACCTCGGTAATCTGGACAAGCTTGTGCTGAAATTTAACAAGTTGCATACCCTTGAGAAAGGCCTGTTTGATGGGCTGAGCAAACTAAGAGAACTGCAGCTGCACGGAAATGAAATACACACAATTGAAGACAAAACCTTTGACGACCTTGAGAAACTGGAAATGCTCCATTTGGCCAAAAACAATCTCTCTACTTTGACTACTCCGTGGTTCTCCAAAATGACCAGATTACAGAAACTACGTCTTTATGAAAACCAGCTGACGCACATTCCGGAGGATATTTTTCAAGATTTGCCCAATCTAAAGGAAATTGCTCTGTATAGTAATAAAATATTAGAGCTATCTCCAAACTTACTTCCACATAAAGACAAACTTGGTGTTCTAACTTTGGAAAATAATCTTTTGACCGTTTTACCGCAAGAATTTTTTGTTGGCTTTCCACAGCTTAAAACTTTGACCCTAGCCAAAAATCAACTGACCTCCTTACCGTCAGTGCTTTTTGGAGAATCGCCTAAATTGACGGAATTAAGCTTGAGTAAAAACCGTCTCAGCAGCTTACCCAAAGGAATTTTTGCACCTTTAAAAAAACTGAAGAAACTCGATCTCTCCAAGAACAATTTCATCACTTTATCTCCCGAGTTCTTTGAAGGAGCAAAAACTCTCACCGAGCTCAATCTCATGAACAATAACATTTTATCACTTGATGAAGAGATGTTTGAAAGTTTACCCACACTGATTACGCTTAGACTGAGTCAGAACCAAATGAAAACTCTTCCAGGTGACATCTTTACTCCTTTGAAGAAACTCCGAAAGCTTTACCTGAATGACAACCCTTGGCTTTGTGATTGCAATCTGATCCCATTTTACTCCTGGATGAAGAACAATGCCGACAAAATCACGTCTCCAATGCTTTGTAGCCAACCGGATAATCTGAACGAACTGGAAATATTGTCTGTAACTGAAGATCAGCTGATTTGTCCGACATTTCCTCCAACTACTATTCCTACTACCACAACAACAACAACTACTACTACTACTCCTACCACCGCTCTTCATCCTACTACTACTACTATGCCAACTACTATTTGTATATCTACTCCCAAAATGACAACAAATGCACCAACATCACAACCAACTTCAACTACTACAATCATAGTACCTACAACTACAACCATTACAAGTACACAGCCAACCACTGCTGTTACTACCGCTATTCATACTACTGTTATTACTACAACTCAAGCTACTACAACTACAATACCAGCTACAACTGCTCACACCACCCATCCAACTTCTACGCTTACTACTACTGCTATGACAACTACTACTAATACTCCTCCTCCTCCTACTACTACCCCTCCTCATACCACTACTACTTCTCCTCGGCCTCCGACTACTACTACTACTACCCCTCCTCCTCCTACTACTACCCCTCCTCATACCACTACTACTTCTCCTCGGCCTCCTACTACTACTACCCCTCCTCCGACTACTACTACCTCTCCTCCTACTCCTACTAATACAATTGCTTACACTCAACCAATCACTACAGCCTCAACAACAAGTGATATTTCAACAATACCAATCCAAACAGCTGTTCTTACAACACCTGTAGCCACAACACTGCCTCCTACTACTATTCCCACAACCACACACACAACAACTCAAAGTACCACCACAGCAGTAATGTCCAGTATCACAATTTCAACCACTTTAATGGCTACAAAGACTTCAATGAAAACGTCTCCAGTTCTGGTGACATGTCCCATTCACCTCGAGCCACCAACAGAGCAGAGATATTCATATGTTCAACACAAGAGTAAAATTCAGCGTTGTAAAGTTCAAATGATGTTATATTTCTCCATCTTATTAGTGGAAGTGGTTTATACGCTGGTGCTGTCTAAATATGCATATTCTCTTTATAGGCTTCTTCAAAACAGTGAGCAGATGAACCACAGGGTAAAGCTGACTGCATTTACACACAGGAAAAGTATCACCGTGCAACCTTTAGGTCAATTTATGGAAGAAACCAAAAGGCTATAAAACACAGCATATGAATTACACATGTTATTTAGTTTGTATTTGAGGTGTCTTTTTCTTGTAAGCAATTTAGGCAGGTATTAAGGACTGCATTCACAAATAAATATATTGAAAGATTACATTTGCATGTTTTGTTAACGATAATAAATAATAATCAATTTCCAGACATTCCAAATTTGCTCCAACTACTTCTACTGCTGCCCCTGACACAACTGCAACTTATACAATATTGGTTGTACAATTTTGGATTTTTGTTTTGTTTTGTTGTGTTTGTACATTACTCCAAAACAACAGTATATGTTTCTACTGCAGGTCATTTGCAAGTAACACAATTGTGGGCAAGTTGCAGTATAAGCAAATGACCAGCAGAGGGAGTTAGAGGCTTTGTATTACCTGCCAAAGACTATACATGTTTGTTCAAGTCTTGAGAACCAAGGTGTACTGTGCTTATTACAATGCAATAGAGTTCTTAATCAGAGCGTATGAGCACTGGGATTCAGTGAAGATGCTGATTGGGATTGTTGATCTTTTTAAATCCATCATCCTCTGTTCTGATTATGAAGTGTAATGAATAAGAACAGTATATCACAATAACATGGGGTACTAGATACATCAGTTTAGTTATATAAATTCTTATTGAATTGCTGTTAACAAACTCAAAATGGATTTTTTTGCTGTCTAAGATTTATGACGCACAAAATGATCATCTTTCTAAAGTGGGCAAAGTTTCACAATGTCTCAATGACACAGAACCCTCCAGGTTGTCATAATGAGCCAGAAAAAGAGCTGAGAAGGTAATTGTGTGTGAAAAAGGGTTATGCACGGAGGAATAGATGGCATAAAATCTGGAGGAGAATGCAATTATCTCCCAAATAAGACATTTGAACTGGAAAATGGTTTGCTTGAAGCAGGCAGATACTGGGAGTGGGAGTAGAATGCAAACATATACATCATATAAATAAGGAAAAATAAACTTGGATTATGAACTATTTCTGTGTGGATGTGTTTTCTATGGGACCATATTACATTTGGTATTTGGTCAGATGGTCAGGTTTTTTTTGGATCAGGCCACAAATGAATTCGATCATTGGAAAGCGACACTGATGTATGGAGTACGAGACTGGCCCCTGGGAGGCTGTTGTGAGAGCGGCGAGGGCTGTAATTGCCTCTTTGGTATTTTTACTAATTAACATTATTAGTTTTCTTTTCCTTTTTTTAATATTGTTTAATTCATTTATTGTTTTTTATTATTATAAATGTTGGAAAAAACAGCAGTTTGTAATATTGCAGGAGTGAAATTATGACAATTACACCAAAGAAAAATTGCATCGATAAGGCAGTAAATTCCAGTTTTTTAGATAGAACTTTGTGTTGCACATACGTTCTGCTTACTCTACACAACAGCAGTATAACCGGACGGCACCTGAACTTATATCCTATAGACATCTTCTATGCGTATTTGATTTATGTATTTGTTTTGACATTTCTACCTGCTTCTTTGGTAGAATTTTAAACCTGCCCTTACTTTGTCTCGCACGTCTCCCATCCGAAATGTCACACAACTAAATAGTATCTACACTTCACTATTCCCTCCTCAATTTTAATATTATTATTACTTATAATTGCTCATCTGTTCTTTTTTTAGGATTTTTATTTTTAATTGCTCAGCTGTTCACTGCAGTTGGTCCAGGATGAGGTTTGTCAGAAGACTATGCAAATGATGCTGTTATCGTAGACACACACCAGTTAAGTGCTGATGCTAAAGGCTCTCCATGGCCTGTGGCAATATACACACATGCACACACGCATACACACACACACACACACACACACACACACACACACACACACACACACACACACACACACACACACACACACACACACATACACACACACACACATACACACACACACACACACACACACACTGCCAGCCTCCATGCCCACCTGCCCCCCACTGCCCGGTCTTCATCAGAGCCCAATCTCTGCGACCAGCTGCAGCCCCCAGGAGAGCGCCACACCACGGAACAAGGGTCACCATGACACCTCCACTGGATCTGCTATAAATAAGAGTCTGTCCGGTGCTAAATGTGGGAAGCAGAGGACAGCAACACACAGCCGTAATGTGCCTTCATATGACAGGCTAGAAACTTTTCACAATAAAACTAGTGGACATTAAGTATTTCAAGCCTGTTTGGTCATTTGGTTACTTTAATGATATTACTTTGTGGTTACCTATGACCATGTTATAAACTATATACCAAAACGCCACTATTACTTTGACAATATTTCTGGAATTTTATTTTGTGAAAGTGGGGGTATCAAATGTAACTTCCACAAATCTGGCAACCAGTTCCCCGCTGCCTCTAGTTTTCACAAGCATGTCCTTTTTGGTTTCTGTCTGCGATTTTCTTTTTTGTCTATTTTTTGTCCTTATCTACTGTATGTTGGATTGTGTATGGATTTCTCATCTCTTCAGAGCTGGCTGTCTCTCATCCCCCGCACCTTCATTCAGCTCTTGGTGTCTTCTCGTCTACGCTCCAGATAAGTCGCCCTGCTTCACTCTACTTATTGTGAATAAACTCATTTAGCTTCATCAGTCTCGTGCTTCTGCTTTAGGTTTCAATTTGCAAACCGTAACATGATGTAACCCATTTGTGTACTTTTCAAGTCTATGCACATACTTGCATAGACTATGCAAAACGCAACAGATTCGGAATAATAGATACTTTTATGTAACAACTTCAACAAGCAACCTAGAGTTTCAATAATACGTGTGGTTGGTGGAAAAGCTGCAGACTAATCATATTAATCTGTGCAAACCTCTCCAGCTGCTTGGACAGACTGTGAGAGTGGCTTGTTGGATCAATACCAGTCATTTCTGCAGTGCGCAATCCTGACCAAGCAAAACAAATATACAAAGTGTCAAAGAAGCATATTTACATACGAAGGAGCATCTCATAATCATCAACCACCATTTTGAATTTAACGGTATATTGAACTCGTATGAACAGAAGTGACGGTGCCTAAATGATAAGACGATACATCAACCTTAGATTTTAATGAGGCTGGTTATTCAGAGTGAAAATGGTCGGGAATAATGACTTGTCAAGACTCCTGTGAGGAATAAGCACAGAAATAGCTTTAATAGAGAAATTGCGGCTCTATTTTTAACCTGGCTCTTGTACTCTAATTTTAGAAAATATTTCATCTTGGGTGTTCAGACAGTGGACAGCAGCTTGGCTTTGTTTTAAACAGTTCCCTTAAGGTCGATTGCAGTATATGTGGCCAATATCGGAACAGAGTATTTCTGAGTGGAGTTTGCACGTTATCCCTGTGTCTGCGTAGGTTTCCTCCAGGTGCTCCGGTTCCCCCTGCCACTAAAGCAGGCACAATAGGTCTGGCGTTGCGCCTTCTGTACTGGTGACACACGCCCTTCTCTCTGTGGAGTGAAAGACAAATTCCCACAACAATTTAAAAGTGCTTTGTGACTCTCGGTCGGAACAGGGCTTTTCTGAGTGGAGTTTGCATGTTCTCCTCGTGTCTGCGTATGTTTCCTCCGGGGTGCTCTGGTTTCCCCTACCACAAAAAATGTGCTCAGTATAGGTAAAATCCTCCAGCTCTGGTAGTCCTGACCAAGCCGAGCATCAACATCTGGAGATGGGTTCCTGGGCGCTGTTACTACGGTGACCACTGCTCCTGAGGTAGGCCTTAGTGGCATCAGGATGGTTCAAATACACAGGATACATTTTCCTACGGGGACAATAAAATGCACATTTATGTATTTATTACTTACTTACCTACTTAATATTCAGAGTTTACTTGTTTTATGTAATAATTCTGCAGCGTTGACCACAGACCTGCTGGATGTTTAAAGAAGATGAGGGTCTGCTTTTTATGACATACAGCCCTGGTTTGATGCTGATGTTTTAAACTTGCCACCTTTATAAAATGTGCAGTTTTTTGACTTTATAGGGTTCTATATAGATGTATTTCTTTATGAACATTAAAGAGTGCTTTTGAAAGGGGTGGGAGAAAATAAGCTTGTCTTCATCCCACTCCCCTCCAAGCTGTATTTTTTTTTGGGACAAGTTGTAATGATGTGTTAATATTGTCTAGCATCATAATGTATTCATTTTTTTCTTGTGTTGTATTGTACCGGCTTGGAATAAACTACACTAAACTAAAGTAAAGATAAACTAGCTTAACTAGAGCTTAGAATAATAACGGCTGCATCGGTTTGATTAAAACTTTGTGTAATGGAAACCACACTGGAACTTCTGCCTGCCGTATTTTTTTTTGTTAATCACTGTCCAAAAAGTCAGTCCTTATACGAGTAGTTTCTTATTTTGCCTTGTGGCTTGTGTTGAAAGTGGGTCTATTTTTAGCAAGAACCATTCCGTCAAATCAACTTCAAACAGAAGAAACTCCAAATAGAAAAAGGCGTAGGCTGTCTGAATGTGGACACTAGCTTGAAAACATTAATAGAAAAGTAAGGTAATATTTCTTTATATGCTGAGATCTTAGCTCAATACTAAATGATGATTGAATGTTGTGTCAATTCATAAAAACTTCATTCACTGTTCATTCTTGCGACATTTGTCTAGTCTTGAAATATCACAGCTTTACAATGATAGTGTTGTCCCTTTGAAGATTACACAGATTTACACTTGAAGCAGCCACAACAATGATGTGTGAATCTGCAGACTCCAGGCCAGAAGCGATTCATTAAGGCACCTATGAATATATGAAGTTAAGCCTTGGAAAATTAAAGCCCAGTTTCTCTCAAACGTCCAACATATTTCAAACGGCATCTGTCGCTTTTGGAGTACGATCAAAAGCAGTCTTTGCGGACATGCTCTGTGCAGATGTTCCCAGTGCTGATGATTTACAGTACGTGGAAACAATTTCAAATCACGTCAAAACCCATTTTGTTTTGTTTGTGTGAGTGTGTGAGTGTGTGCGTGTGTGTGTGTGTGCGTGCGTTCCATTGTGCGTGTGTGAATATTAACAAGAGTAAAGCTGCTGTCTGGAGGGATCATCTGCAGTAAATAGACCAACTGTTGAGTCTCCATGATTATCATTTCAAAGCTCAAACCATTATCCATAATTGTCAGATTTGTTGTTATGTGGGAGTTGTTACAAATGGGGATTCCGTTCAAAATTACAATGAGACGATTTACTTTCATGTTACAGAATAAGAAAAAAAAAAGTTGTAAGTACTTTAGATGTAGCTCAGTTGGTAGAGCATTGGCCTTAAGGCCAGAAGGTCGTGGGTTCAATTCCCACCTCTGCACCTTCTCCACCGACTCCCACTGATGACTGCTGTCGTTGTGTCCTTGGGCAAGACACTTAACCCCACTTTGCCCAAAGCCCCCACTGAAAGATCAAGGCTATGCTCACACTCAGAGAGCAGCCGTCCTCCTGTGGACTCACCACCTGCAGAGGATCAGTGAGGGGCTGGTGCTATGAGACTTGGGTGGCATCTCTGATTGCCACCCCCCTGACCCAGAGATGGATTAAAGGGTAGAAAATGGATGGATGGATGGATGGATGGACTTTAGATGTACAGGTTTTGGTTTTCCTGCTGAGCCAGTGGCCATATTCCCCATTTGCCAGTCTTTCTCCATGCTGACAACCAGAAGCTTGCCTTCTCTGCTTTGTCTGCCAATTCTCATGTGGCTCTATTCAACTTTGCCCGTGTCAGGCCCACATCCCTGAGGAGACTATTAGTGGACTTTCCCACGGAACCTTGAGACTCGACCTCACGGGTAGAGGGTTGTCGCTCACCCAGCTTCTCTTCATTCTGTGGCTAAATCCGTATATTCCAGGATATTTTCACACCTCTGGACCTGTTTGACCTCTGGAGGGAACACCAACAACTGGCGGAGATCCACTCTGAAAGTGCTTTGTGGATCGACTCACTGGCTGCTTTTGCTCTGGTTTGACTAATGTATTGTGTCTCAGTCTTCTGCGTGTCATTTGCCTCACGCCGGTAACATCTGATACGTTCAGACAGAGACAGATGTTCAGGGCCGTGTTGTCATTTGCACTCAAGGGACACTTGTTTTCAGATCACAAAGGAAGAATCTGGGGACATGGCACCACGTATCTGTCCAGCTGATGTTTCTGCAAGTCACAAACCACTGCTTAAAGCAAAACTGGTTGTCTGTTATCTTTGGTGACCTCATGAGGCGTTTGAACCAGATGAAATGATAGCACCACACTATGTGTATGCCAGGGAGCTGGCTGTTGTCAATCCCCATCAAACCTTCTACCAGTTGTTTATGGATGAGCTTTTCTGCTTGTTTGTTTGACAGCTCTGCATTCTACTCACTCCTCAATCTGCAAATGATCTGATGGACTTCAGATCCAGGATGCAATATGTATACAGTATTTCTTCCATTTGTAAGTGACAAACTTTTTGATTTTTAGGATTTGATCCTCAAACTTTCCCATGCAGTTAAACCCTCCCAGAAGTACAGTCTGTAATGTGGTTGTTACTAGGAGTATCGTGATACTTTCTCACGCAATCGATTATTGATATGCTTTTGCTAAGTATCAAATTAAATTTTTTTTAAAGAAATTTAAGCTTCATTTGAAAATAAGAAATGAGTATTGATACTTAATATATGGCTACTTTACGCAGCTCCATTCTTCATGTCTTAGTGAGTATTTACTGGAAAATCTGCTAGCTTAAAGTTAAAGAATATACAAAAAAATCATTTAAGTTTTTGTATACAAAAGGAACTTTAATTTCTGAAGAATATTCATATTGATTTAGTTGGATCTAAGACTTATTTTGTTATATAAAAAAAGCAGCATTTTTACTGAAATGAGCAGGTTAAAAGGCATTTTTGCTTGTTCACTTTAATGTTACACATGACACTTTATCCATTTATCTTGAAATAAAGTGTATTTTTTCACTTAACAATTTTCTTTTATTTATGGCATAAATTATTGTAAGTATAATTCTGACCAATATATCAACAGTCATTAATCCATTTTCTTCCCCTTAATCAATTTCTGGGTCGGGGGGGGTGGCAGTCAGAGCTGCACCCAGTTCACAGAGCACCAGCCCCTCACTGATCCTCCTGCAGGTGGTGAGTCCACAGGAGCTGAGATCTTTCAGCGGGGGCTTCAGGCAAAGTGGGGATAAGTGTCTTGACACAACGACAGTAGACATCAGTGGGAGTCGTGAAGTAGGTCTTGTGGTGGGCTCGAACCCACGACCTTCAGGCTCTGAGGCCAATGCTCTACCAACTGAGCCACTGTCGCCCTCGTCATATCATGAGGTAATTGTTATCGTTAACTTTGTATCGCACATGGTATCGTTGTGGTTATTGGTAAATAGTGCTATGTAGGATTTAGGCCCTGTTGTTTCTGTTGCTAAAAAAGGAGCTACAGCCAAACGTCGGCTTACGGGGCATTGTTTTGCTGTTGGATAGTTGTAACATCAACCAGCGCTTTATATGAAGGGTACAAAATGTACTTTATTTTCAATTTTAAAATTGGGTATGAATCATATTTAAAATGTGAAAAAAGCAG